ACACACAAATTGATTGATATTTATTCAGTTCAGTTAACTAATTGAATTTTCACAATTGACAATCATCATCATCAATTGACTAACAATTTACTGTAAGAAGTAAAAAAAAGTTCCAATCATGTAAAATATAGTATTTTTTTTGATAAATACATATAAGGAAATAGAATCTCATTAAAATGAATTTAAAGTTCTGAGTCTGAATGAAACTCATGATCCACAATAAGCCATGAACTCAAATTGATAAGACATGATGATGATTCCGATTGTTGTTGAATGAAAATAATTGAAATCTCTCAATCCTGTTGTCACCAAGAAAATTGGTAAACATTTCTGATTCCAATTCAATCATTTCGTTGATATTATTATCATGATTCTAGATCATCTTCATCATTATCACCATGTTTTCAAGTGTTTATATGTTTTGTTAACTATAAATGATCATTTACTCACCTTACCCGCCCTCATCTCCACCTTGAACCTCCTCATCCTCATCCCTTTCCTATTAACAAAGTTATTTTATTGTTCATCATCATCTTGAGCATCTTCATCATCATTCTCGTTCTGAAACTTATCATTATCTGAATGGTGATGATAAAGATAACGAAACCACCTTCATCATCATCTCATAGTTATTATCTCATCATCTTTGAACTTATCGTAACCATGGTGATCTAAATGATAAAATCTTCCTCCTCCTAAATATTATTAAACATGTTATCGGAAAAAGTTTTGCTCATTTTCATCAATATAAATGATGAGGAAACAAAGATGAAATTTTTTTCCTTTTATTCAGAATTCAACAATCAATTTCCAAAGTTAAAATCAATTGAACAACACTGAGATTGATAAACAATCTGATTGAGATTCTGAATAATTTTAAGCTTCTAAATAAGATTGAGAACAGAAAGTTTCAATGATTATTCAATTTGGGTGAATTATCATCAATGGGGATGAGATAATTTCTTCATCATCCTTCATGAAAAAGGGAACGATAAAGTTTTGACTGAACATTAAGTTCATTTCTCATTTCTTGGTGAGTAAAAAAGCTCTAATGAAAATAATAATAATAATACAAAGGATAGGATAACATCAGAATTCATATCTTTATGTTTTAAGTACCATGAAAGTTTCCTGAAATTTTCATCAGAATAGTAATTTTTTTTTCTCTTATATCAGCTCATTTTTATGCTCTATTTGGCTTTTAGTCATGAAAATGAGTTAGATGAAGATGAAGATTAAGATAATGATGATGATGAGAAGAAGGAGAAAAAAATTGAGATAATATAATGAACTCATTCAGAAAATATTACTGAGTCTACATTTTTATGAGTCAACTTGTCAGTCAATGATAATATTCACAAGGATAAAGATTAGGTAAGATGATCTTCCTCATCTTCATCATTATCATCTTCCTGTTATATTCTCAGAGATGTGCATCTCTCTCACTCTTATCTTCCATTTGGTGATTATTATTCAGGAAGGAAATCTCTCTCTCTCTCTCTCTCTCTCTAACTAGAAATAACTTTGTCTTCTAAGACCAATCTCTCATTCTCTGAGTGAATTTCATGTAGATTCTAAAGGGAATTGATTCAGTAAATTCTGATTCTGGTTCAACAATCACTGTCTATCATCAAACTTGAACATGTATCATGATGATACTGATGAAGTTGAACTGAATGTGGGAATGAAATGAATAAAAAAAACAGAAAGAAAGTTACGATTCCAGAATTCAGTTAGTTACTCAATCCACCAGTGAATCCACCAAACTGTTAGCTTAATGTCCCATGTTTTCAGGGAAAATTTCACAATCTCTCATGTCTATTTATTAGCCTTTCTTTTCATAGAATAATATAAATATTAAAATGATCAAGTTCTGAATCAATCTCACTAATTAGTAGGAATCGATATCATGAAATCAAATTCTTTACCATTTCTCTTGTATCTTTAATGTGTCAACAATTAATCAATCAATCGATTGGTTGATTATTATCATTAGTTTTTGTTTTCGTTGTTCCAATTCTGTATTGGAATTTTTTTCTCTCTCAGCTTTTCGTCCTCATAATTCATCTCATGATGAAAGTGAGACATCATTTTTCATGATATTTTCTCTCTCATGAGGTTAACTCTGGTTCCATTGTCTTTGAAATTAATGAGATGAAACTTACTTGGAAATCGTCAATCAAAAGGAATCAGATAAGAACCTTGAGATAAATCGAGCTAAGATTAAATCTGAACAGAATTTTCTCTCAGAACTATCATGTCAAGATTATCTTCTAATCAAGAACTTGGATATTAATGAATAAATGAATAGTATCCAATAAATATCATGAAATCTTCGATAAGTTGAACCAAAAGAAAAAAACTTTAAGATTGTAAGTGAAAACTCAATCCATTGGTGACCAATGGTGAACATGATGATTCTGAATAATCTGGTTATCGAAAAACTTTTACCAAATTAAGATTGTTAATCTGATTAGAACTAATTAATTGGTCATTTCAATTGTCCATTTCCAATGGGAAAGCTTGAATGGTTCAAATAAAGGTAAATATTATGATTATGGTGATGGTCAGTTGATGACGATAATGATGATTATCATCTTGAAAGTTAATTCAGAACTTTTCTCAGACAGTTTTATTATGTAACTCGAGTTGAACTTTTATTCAAAGATTCACTTGGGAATCAGATTGACATGATGATGAACTTTATTTATCTTCCTCCCCAAGTTTCACTTTCCTTTATCATCATCTTGTAACTGAGCTAAGTTTATAATAGACTGACCATTGGAATGACCAATAAGACTTAAATCTTATTAGCTGTTAATATATATCAAGATCTGTATTGTATTGGTCAAGAAACTAGACAATAAACAAGTATCCAAATAGTTTAATCATTTATCCTCAGGATTTCAATTTGGACATGAAATGGTCAAGCTGATTAATCTGATGGTCAAACCTTTGGACTTTTTTTTTATTTTATCATCCGATGGTCAAGATTCAGTCTCGAAACAAATTGAATCCATCACTGTGATGACCACACAAAGAATTGTATTTGAGACAGTTGATTAATCGTCTAAAAACTTTCACTCTCTCTTTAATTAGATTTATTTTTAATCATATTAATCAAGGAGAGTTAATTAGAGTTAATTTAATTGCTTGAAAATGATTTCAATTGACACAATGCTTTTCAAATGATCTCAGTTATTAGTTGAATGAAATGAAAAAACTATCAACTTATTATTAGCTAGTAATTAGTTGAATAAGATTAACATCTAACTGACCATTGGTCATTTGAGTATGAAAAATGCAATGATAATAATAAAATGATTAACCTGATGAAATAACAATCTATTTTCAGTGATAATCATGACAGGTTATAATGATAATCATGATTAACTGAACACATTAATCGGGTTAATCATTAAGTCCAGTCAGGTTTATGATCAGTTGATTTCGTTATTTTTTTAATCTTTAACACAACAAAAAGTTAATCAGTTTTGACATTGATTGAAAATACATTCCAGAATTTATCTCCCCATGAATTTATGAATATTATCATGATGATGAGCAATGAGAACTGTGAGTAAAAAAAAATTACAAGTTGAGAGACTCACAAATTCAGGTTGAAATTATCATGATAATAAAATTTGATAAAGATGATGATGGTTAAGGTAAATTGTTCAATGAACATGAATTTACATGAATCGTAATGAGAAATTGTATTATCCACCTCAGGGGAATTAGAATTCACTTTCACCATGGAAATTAAGTTTCTAATACTTAACTTTATATCCTCTGGTAACTTTAATCATCGATATTAACAATTAATTGTTCATCGTTTAACTTTTTTTCCCCATCACAATTAATCAATCATATGATTAACTTTTCACATTTTCAATCAATTGATTTGAAATTTCAAAAGTTTCAAAGTTGATTAATATCAACATTAGACTTTGTTAACCGGAAAAATCAACACAATTAAAGTTAATCATCATTATATCCAATTTAATTGTTGTGGTTTAAGTTCAATTGACATTGATATTGTATTAATATACAATTCGAGATGCTACATTTAATTGTTTTGTCAGTTGATTGTTGTTAATTTGTATTGTCAACTATTAGGTTCTGGTTAATTAGCTAATTACTTTGGGCTCAAAATTTGATTGTTGGTTTTATTGACTAACTCATGTGACTCTGTGAATAATTTTAATTGTTTACCAATGTAATCAACCATCTTAATCTGTAGTAACTAGATTAACTTAATTACAAGATAAATAATGTTTATCAATGCTAACCATTTATTACATTGTGAATAAGTTGATATGATTAAATCAGATTAATTTTAGTCTCAATCAAACTGAATCTATCCTGATAATATCAGAATAGGGATCATCATGATGGACAAAAGCTCAGACAATTAACTGTCATTGTGATAATTTCATGATGACCATCATGTTTTTAATCAAATTAATGTTTGACCAACAGTTTTTCATGTAACATTTTTCAAATACTTTCCATGTATTCAGGTTTATCATCATGTTGATAACTCTGAAAAGTTGATGCTAGAAATTGAGAATCTGTAAGAGTTGTATCTCTCTCTCTCTCTCTCTCTCTCTCAATCATCTATCATAATCATCTTCATGATAGTTCATCCAGAACATGATGATGGTCATGTTCAGCTGAGAAACTCAATCAGCATTTAAAAATTCACATCACGTCAAATCCATAATCTAGAGTAATGTTGAAATACGGATATAATTTATATCCAGCATTCAGTTTGAAGGAGAGATGAAAAAAAATATATTCCACTTGTATCATTATCTTTAATCATCATGATAATGTTCATGGGATGATAACTGAAACATTCTGAAAATTGCATCTCTACAATTTTAAATCTAAATTTCGAGTGGCAATAATTTTCTTGATGATAATCAACTGAATAGATTATGATTAACATTAATCGTGATTCTAATCTGATGATATTTTCTTTTATCTCCTTTCAGGACCTAATCGCCAACGATAACAACGATTACTGATTTTGAGCTTATAATACTTTTTGCTTTCCCTCTTCTCTCTCTCTCTCCGTTAAAATTGATTGATTCCTGATCTTGGAGTAATAATGATAAGTGGAAATCGAGGTGATAAACTGTCCAAAGCTGAGAAACAATGTCGATCACTGGCAAGAGTGGGATCATCAATAAGCCAGGCGGTTGAAAGATTTGCCTCCGTGGGTGAAACTATTGGTGATGATAATCCGGAGATTAAGCTTGGGATGGTTGATGCTTGTAAAGATGCAAGGACAGCGGGTAAGTTAATCCATGAAGCGATGTTAAGCATTCCCACCCCGCCTTTCACCTTTTGATATTGAACACAATTAACTAATTGCCAAATCATCATCAGTATTAATTTATTACAATACGAACCTCAAATGTTTCTAAAAACTTTCCTTTTACTCTCTCTCTCTCTCTCTCTCTCTCTCTCTCTCTCTCTCTCTCTCTCTCTCTCTCTCTGCTACTGGATTAATTTCAGCATCATTTCCGTTTCCGCTTTATTTGTTTTTTTCTTTCATCCGCTTGTAAACACTTTTCAATTGATGATGATGAGAATGATAATTACAACATCATCACCATGATGATTTAGGTTATTATTTTATTGTATGAGTAGTCTAATGACAATCTTGTGATAATTATGCTAATGACACACCCATGGAAATGTCAAATTGATGAAGATGAACGAGAATGATAATGAGGATGATGAGGATACCCGAACATGTAAAAATTAACAATAACATTAAATTAGCATAAAAGTAATTAAAAATTCTGACTCTCAATTCTGGTATTTACTTGGCGATGATGGAGACATTGAAATAGGGATGATGATATTGCTTGAAACACAAAAAAAGTATCATCATCAAGCATCATTATCATGTAATCATTTACAATTAATTACCCACCATTAGTTTGATGATGTTGTTGTTGTTGTTTGTTAATTGTTATTCAATTGGTTTCCTGAAGGTAAACATTTCAAATGAAATCATTTAAATTGTTATCTTGCTACTCTCAAGTTATCATTTAATTGAAATGTTTCATGATAATGATTAATTGTTGTCTCTGTTTAATTGTTAGGTTGTATTCTGGAGCAATTATGTGATATCACAACTGATTCGGGTAATTATAATGTCCGATTTTACTCCGATAGAAGTGCCCTTGTCCGGTCAGCTCGAGCACTTTTATCCTCAGTCACCAGAATCCTGATAATAGCTGATTCTGTGGTGGTCAAGCAGCTACTGACCGCCCCGGATAGGGTAAGTTAAACAATCAACCATTTCGATGACAATTATCATCCACAGTTTAATTGTAACAACTTGATGATTAACACTCAGAATCATGAACATGATAAATATCAAGGAAATTGCAAGAGAATAGTTTTAGGTGAAAAAACTTTATTTTCTCAGAACTTTTTTCGTTTTTTTTTTGTTCATTGTGATTCACCATTTTCATGAATATTCAGTCAAGTCAGAACTTTTTTCTTCATCTCCTTTGTTCCGAGTGATGAAATTTAACTCACAAATTATTAAGATATCATGATGAATGCTGATTCTTTATGGATAACCAAATCCTCTGAATCATTATTTTTTTCCTACTGAACTTTTCATCAAATTGTATTTACTTTGCTCATGGTGATTACAATTGATATCACTTGATGATTGATGATGATTAAGATGATAATTCAAACATAAGTAATCGTGTCTCTAAGTATCAAATTTATCATGATTATATTCAGAATCATCATCAGAATAACAATAATCATCAAGGAAAGGTCATTTTCTCAAGTTATATTACTTTCACCTCTAAACCCTTATCGTTATTGTCATCATAATAATAAACTTACAATCTTAATCATCAACTTAAATGGTTGTTAATCATTTACACAAAGTGTTTCTGAGTGATCATCATGATAATGATTACAATTAACTTGGAACGTGATTGAATTAAGTAAACATAACTGTTTCCTTTCATCATCAATTTTATCAATATTTTTTTTTTGCTTCCAATCACAATTGACTTGATAACATTGTAACAATTGATTAATTATTGTCCATCTTAATTACCCTTAGGGGTTAGTCGGATTTAGACTTGAAAATGTTGCCAATTTCACTGAGTTCGTGAAGGCTTATGTTGTCTTTGGCTCGGAAATGGTTCAACTTGCTCACAATGTTGCCGATCGTTCAAGTGTAAGTGCTAATTAGAGTTTGGATTAGTTTTTCTGTCATGTAATTAACTTAATTGTTTCTCTTTACCAATTTTAAATCAAGTGTATTAAGGATGAGAGGCGACGCGCTGAGATGGGTTCAGCTCGTCGATTCCTTGAAAGGTCAACCATGATGCTTTTGACTTCGTCCAAAGCTTGTCTTCGTCACCCTGATTGCGAAAGTGCCAAAGAAAATCGTGATATCGTTTTCATTGAGATGAGACGTGCAATGGACTCAATTCACAGCGTTATTAAAGACAGTGTCCTACCCGAATTATCATTTTCCGCTGTAAACATCGATTCCACCGGTGTTGATGATTCCCGAAGGTTCCAACACCATGGACGATCTTCATCCAGTCACCTTGGTTACATGAGATCCACTCAACGTTATCACCATCAACATCATCCATCATCACCAACCTCAACCTGTAATCCAGCCACTGATTGGATTGGTGATATCGATGAACCTCTTCCGACGACTTTCAATGCAATCAGAAGATTCGAGGTATAATATTATGTTTTTTTCCTTTCGTCGAATAGCAAAAAAATAAAATATTACTTGTTCTTATCATTTACTTTTCATATTCTTTTAATTTTAGGAATTGGTTGAAATGAGTCGTGGTACTTTGTGTAAAGGATTATTCAAAGAACGATTAATTAGTGCCTTTGACGCTTTCGTTGAACTAACCCAATATTTCACCGATTCAGCTTACACTCGCCATGAGAATCGTGAAAAATTATTATTACTCTGTGATCGTACCAAACTTGAGCTCAATCAGCTACTTCGAATCGGAATTTGCCTTGTAAGTCAAACGATTGATAAATTAACTACAAGTCACAATTAAACAGAAACTTTCAATTGATACAATTGGTTTACTTTTTTTAGGACGAAACTGGATCAACGAGTACAACTGTAGATCTGGAAGAAACCATTTCACAAACTTTACGATCAGTTAACGATGTTAAATTTCAGGTAATTAGTTGATTCAATTGTCATAATCAATCCAATCGATTGGTCAAACTAATGGTCACTTTTCTCTCTCTCTCTCTCTCTCTTTCTTTTGTTTTATGAATTGTTCAGCTACGAAACACTGCCTTAGAGCAAGCTGATGAACTATTCAAATTAACCGATGAATTTGATATAATTAATCAACTTCGAAGTACCTTTTTAACGGGTGACCCTGAACGTTTAAACGATTATGTTAAAATATTCACCGATCACTGTGATCATGTTGATGAGGTGTGCAGATTAATACACAACGTAACCACCTCTGAAACCCTTCAAATCTATTCAAAAGTTACCGAATCTCATATAACCGTTTTCAGCCCACAAATTTTGAACGCTTGTTTTACCTTATGTGCTCATCCCAATTCTCGTATTGCCAAAGATAATCTTGAGGTTTTCCTTGACTTTTGGATCACCCTTTACAGTGATGTCCATCAGTATAGTAAGGATACTCGAGAATGTTTAACCGGACTTGACCTAAACCCTTACCTTTCTGGTCCAATGATGATGAACACTCCTGGTGGTTCCGTCCGATATAATAATAATAATAATAATCCGAATACTGGTCAATGTAATATTAAGTCTGGTCAGCAACAGGTATCATCCTCATTGTCCCAACAACAACAGCAACAATTAACTGTCCAACAGCAACAACCTGTGATATTAGGACCTAATGGATCAAATTTAGATCCCAATGATCCTTCAATGATTAGCGGAGGAGCTGATAAATTACCTGGTTCCATTGATTTGGAAACTGGTGAGATGATTGATAAAAACTGGTCCACAAATAGTAATCCCTCATCGGAAGATAATGATATTGTCCGTAGGGCCAAAGCAATGTCACAAATGGCCTTAAATATGAACCAATTTACCCGTGGTGAGGGTGATCTTAAAACTACTCAAGATCTTTTCACTCAGGCCGAATTTCTTGCCGAAGAAGCGAATAAGTTTTACAAATTGGTTCGACATTTTTCCTACCAGGTACTTGACCATAAAAAAGAGACCTAAAACCTGACAGAAAATTAATCATAACCTTTCACCTCTTGATCTTTTTGTCCAATTTAGATTCCAAGTGGATTAGCTAAAAAGGATTTACTCGATAATCTTGATAAAGTTCCCACTTTTGTCCAGCAATTACTATTTACCGTTAAGCAAGCGACCGTCGGGAAAGCGGCCACTTTTACCAAAGTTGACAATGTGATCAAGGAGACTAAAAATTTGATGATGTTCGTATGCAGTACCGTTGATAGTTGCATTACCTGTGCATCGAAGGTGATTAATTTGATCTTTAACCAACCCTAAATGACTGAATATTAAATAATAGTTAGCATGAGATTCATTAATAGATCGGAACACCAATAGATGGCAATCCAATTGTCGAGAGACAAGTTTGTTGATATCGCCATCTAATGTTTGGAAAATGTAGTTTACGAAAAAAAAATTTTCGAGTTGATAACTTTTTGTTTTGTTTGGTTTTTTTTTCGACTTGGAATTTAGTATAATCTGGATATGGGAGCTGCTCGAGCGCGATCACGAACTTTGTCACCTTCTGGACGATATGGGGAAGATGATAGTGGATATGAAGGAATGTCCTCTGGAATGGGTTCGAAGGGTGGAACAGCTTCGTCCGATCCGAACATTTGACAATTAGGGATCGGCTCTCGAAGGGCCAAACCACAACAATCCGGTGAATCACGAAGAACTCGCGTTTCGTTTTTACTCTTTTAGGGTCAAAGTCTTAGGATCACTTTTCAGTTTCGTTAATTTGTTTTCTTTTAGTCCACTTAGAGTTGATTTACTTTTTTTCCCACTCCATTGACACAAATTCACTCACACACTTAACCTTCAACCTTTATTATTTTTACGATTTCTCCACCTACATTTTATATATAATAGCTCCTTGACCATATCGAACATATCGAACTTTTAATTTTTCTTTCTTATTATCGCTGCACTTTAAATCCAAGACTTTGGCCCAGATTCGGTAAAAATTTGTTCTTCTCCATCTTGAAATTTTCTCAACCAGAGAGAAAAAAATCGGATTCGTTGTACCTTCTCGAAGTACAAATGTAACCCACAGTGATCGAGAACATGAAACTAACTTGATGATTGACATTAAGTTTCCAATTCGTCGTAAATTGTGGCAGAATTGACGGATAATCAAAATCAATGGAAACTCGATCATCAAGTTACCCTGGATGATAAACTTTCGTGGCAGGAAAAGAGGATCATCTGGGGGTGTTTTCGTCCCTCTCTAACCCTTTATCTCTCCAATTCCCACCACAACTAATCACAATTAATTCCCAACGATCAATTTAATCACAAATTCCACCAATTCCCTCAATCCCAAATCTCTCGCTCAACAATTTCTCACTCTCTCCCTCTCCTTATGACCATAAAAACCTCTCCCACCCTCTGAAATCACACTCACCACCCTGACCCTCCCATGAGAGGCAGCAAATCCTGTGGGTATGATTTGACTTCACCAAAACTTTTCTACCATGTAAACAAAACCAACAAGCTCAATAACCATCAGTAACAATGGTCAACCTGATTGACCATTGCAAACAGATCAACTCTCGATCCACTTCATTATTAATATTTACCAACAATTTAATCATCCTAAATACAGAAAGAAAAACTTCACCAATCAACCAATACAATTTTATTGGTCATCTTAATTACGACAACAATAAATGATTAACAGACATAAATTGTTTTCTAAATTGCAATAACAAAAAACTGTAACTAATTTAATTGTAACTGTTAATTATTGTTTTGACAATTTCCGTCAAAATTATTGGTTTGAAATTAATAAGTATCTTAATTTTATTTATAACTAATTGAAAAACAAACACACAAACGTATTAACAATTTAACTAATTGCTATTTCAAAAACCTCGAACTCAGTATAAACAATATGTATCGAACATTTTTCTCGAAGTTCTAATAGCCTCGAACAATGTAAAAAACAAACTCGAATAAACTAACAAAGTAAATTTATATTTAATTAGAAAAAAAAGTTCTAATTGTTTTTTTTTTCTTCTCGTCGAATTGATTATTCTGATTGTTAATTGTACACTAATCAACTTTAATCGGAGGTCAACTTTTTTTACGCAATTTGATTAGATTTTTGATTATATATATAAATTGAAATGAAACAATTAACATTATAACAGTTGATTTAATTGTTGAATAAAAGTGAATGATTTAATGACAGAAAATTAGGAAAACAAATTAACTGATTACGATTGTAATAAATGATAATCTTTAAATTGTTGTCGACTAAATAATGTAAATGAATGGTCAAAGTTTCAACAATTAGCAACAATTATTGAAATAGTTTTCAATTGCCAATTGTAATCAGCTAATTGTAAATTAAAATTGTTTATATGTTTAAACAATGAGTGAAAATTATCATCATGTTTAACTGATCATGTTAATTATTTGAATATCAGAGGTTCAATTAACAATAATAATCAACGGGTAAACAATTAAATTAATAATGAATGAATTTAAACTAACTAAAAACACTGAGAAACAATTAACAATTAACAACAATCAACGTAAATATAATACACACCTTCAAGAACTTTTCCTTTATGGAAAAAGAAATTTTTTTTTCTTTTGAAACTTTTTTCTTGTTCCATGTCATTCACCATCATCACCATCATCATTATCATCATCATCTTCATCATCATCATCAAGTATTACGAGTAACATCATCATCATCGTTGATGATAATTGCTATTCATTAATTGTTTACAGTTGATTCGGATGGTGGAAAGAAAGAATCACTTTAATTGGACTGATTAGGTTCAATTAGAGTTAATTGAAAGTTCATTCTCATTGTAAGGGTTCAATATATTATCTCATTAATATCACCATCATCATCATCATCATCATCATTATCATCAACCATTCAGCAATTGATTAAGATGATCATCATGGTGATGATAACGATAAAATTGTGACAATTTAACTTGATCATTGTGATTGTTTGATGTTTAAATAATCAGTGTCTTGACTTTGATTGAACCTTTTGTTGTGTTTATTTGATTTGTAACTTTTACAATTAATCAAAATTTGACAATTAATAAATTGTAACATGTTTTGATTGTTGTTGTCAAAGATGATGATGATGATGATGATAAACATCAGGCCACTATTATGTTATTATCAATACAAACGTTACAACAATCAACTGATTGAATTTTTTCCCTATTACCATGATCATGATGATTTGCTGGTTAATTTGAGTTTAATTGCTCATTTAAATTTGATTAAACCACGATTAACAGATTATCTTAATAACCGTAAATGGTTATGGTTACATTTAATCACTTTGGTTAACTACATATTTACCATTGATAGTGTCAAATGTTAATCAGTAACAATGATTAACTTTGTTAACTTAATTTGATTACTTAATTTGTTTTACTCCCTCACAAATTATTTAACTGATTTACTTTGATTTCAGTGTCATTTGATTGATGATAATTAGTTAGTTAATTTATTATCATGTCCATTTGTAGGACAGTCATGATTGAATTTCTTAACTTTTACTAATTTCGTTAATTGTTATGAATTATTCATGATGATTTTTCTGAGAGTTTAAGAGATTATGAATAGATGAGTAGATGAGTTGAGAGATGATGATGATAATCAGGTAACTGAGATTATCGATATTATCTATCAAGCATCGTTGGATCTTCATGGGGGAGGAAAAAGAAAGAGAAAAAAAAAGTTCGAATGAGCTGAAAAGGAATGAGTAGAGATGAGAGAAGATGAAGATCCGAAATAGGGACAAGATGAAAAGGTAAAAGAGGAAAACGATAAATGATGAAAAGAATATAATTTAAAAAAAAGAGAGAGAAAATGAAAGACTTTAAAAAGAAAAAAGTTTCTAACGAAAACTTATCTCTTTTCTCGATAGACGGCGCTGCTTAAATTCCAAATTTCGGTTAATTTTTTTTTTCTTTCTCTCTTTTGATTATAAACAATTAACAACATTAGAATAGAAATTATTTTTTACAATTAGATGAAAGATTCTTAGAATTATAATAATAACGAAAGTTGATATTCGAATTGAGTTAATGGACACAAAAAGCGAAGAAAAATTGAAATGGACGAACAAAAAATTCTCTTCTAAATAAAAACAACATTGTTTTTTTTTCTTCTTTTTCTCCATCATCATCATCATCATCTCACTCTCTTCCTCTTTCCATTTACTTGTCAATCAAGTTTGCCACTCTAATCATCATCATCAACATTTCTCTCCCTTAAACCTACACTCACTTTAGTTACCAACGAGTAAGAATCAACGTTAACCAAGAAAATTAAACTAACGAATCTGAATATTAACTTTCTTTTTTTTCTTCTTCTTCTTCTTTAATCATAATTAACCATCATCATAATTAGTTAGTTTCATGTGATCAACAGAGAAAAAACAAATTAATTAACTTAATCAACTTGTTTATTTTGTTTAACTTGCAACTTGGTTTAAAACTATTAACATGATAATCAGTGAACTTAATCAACATCACTTACGAAATTAAAAGTTACCATTTCTCATTTGGATATTTATTATTATCGGATAGTTAAAGTTATCGAAACGGAAAAGTGACCCCAGGAATTTTTATCCATCAAATTTTCGAATATTTTTCTCACCAAGTTTTTGGAAAAAGATCAAAGTATATAAAATGGACGGACCATCGACATCAACTTCGTCCGGAGGCCGATTCTTTTTCGGTGTTTTATTCACAATCTCTGAACTTTTACTCTTTGGTTCGGTTTCTCTTTTCGTCTATTGGGTAATGTGGCATGACACTGGATTCGCATGGTCCAAAAATCGAAATGAACAGTTTAATTTACACGCAATTCTAATGATAATCGGATTTGTTTTCCTCAACGGACAAGGTAAAGTTCACAATCAATCAAAAATTAGCTTCTAATTGTTACTGTAATTATCACATCTTCCTATTTGCTTTTGATTGTAATAACTTTATTTCTGGGATTTGGAACTTTTTCCACTTCTACTGATTGTTTGACCAAACAATTAACTCATTGATTAACTAATAGTGTTTGTTAGGGCAAAAAAAAACATTGCAACAATTTAAGGGAAGTTCAATAATCAGTGAGGATGAAAATTCAATATTATTATTTCCGTAATCAAGTTGATCAAATTTACTCTTCCATTGAAAACTTTCAGCTGATTTTTTTTTCTCAATCATCATCATCATAATCATCACAATTAACTTGAAAACAATTAACACAAAATTAAATGCATATTCAACTTTGTTAATTGATTAGATTTTCACTATTCAATGGTTAACTTATTAATAACCTTTTTCTGGTCAAGTGTTTGTATTTTTGGGTCAAATCAGTTGATTGTTAACAATCAAGTAAATTGTTTGTTGTATATTGTCAATCAAGTGTTACTTTCGTATTGAAATGTAGTGTAACTAATCAAAAAGTATCAATTGATTGTTGATTTACAATTAATTGATAGGTAGTTTGGTATACATGTAGTTATATTTATCCTTTCACAATTATCTAATTGTATTAATAGAAATCACAATTAACTGTATTGTAATTTGTTGTCCAATTATTATAATATTACAATTATATGTTAATCTTAACAACAAGGTTCCAATCAACTGGTTTAATTGTTACAATTTAATAGTAGTTTGAAAACTATCAATTAGTAAATTTTGTATCTGATCAAGTAAATATTTTAAACAATGGTAATGGCTCTTAATTGTAATCAACCTGATTCATTTAAATTAACTATTTTCTTACCTTTTGTTAAATGTTAATCAACCTTCACCTTGATCATTGTTAATTGTGGGCTATAATTTAAACTGAATCAACGAGTTTAATTATGATAAATTTTCAATGGTAATGATAATATCTCATTGTAAGTTGATATTCAACAATTTAGTTAAGATGTTAATTGTTAAGATGAGAAACTAGTTAACCTTGAAGATCAAGTTTAATTGTTGTAAAAAGCAATTTAATCAGTTTCATCTCATCAGCAGTGATTAAATTTTTACTATTGAAAATCCCAATGGAAGTTGAGTAAAAAGTTATTAACTAGAAAACTTTTTTCCCAATTCAATTGTTTATTTTGATTACAATTAACAAAACACTGTTGATTGTTGATAATGTTAATCGTGAACTATTTAAAGTGATTTACAATTAAATCATTAAATTTGTTCACTTTTTAATTGTTTGTTGTAAGTGAATTAGTTTTGATCATGATCTTGTTAACGAAGCAAAAAAAAGTTAAACGCTACAAAATTATTAATCATAAATAGGAAACAAATTGTTAATTAGTGTGATTAAAAAAATACAACTGACAGGTAACAATCAAAGGCCAAGGTTTTTGATTGTAATCAAAAGGCAGGAAATTGATTACAATCAACAATCTGATTATACAAATGCTGATTTAACCATTGACAAGTTAACAATCAAACAATTTAACAAAGACAACAAACAATTTAAACCGCTACAATTTAAGTGGCAGTAGTTTTGTTTTTGATTGTTAATCTTTGTTGTTTTGACCCAATTAAATCAATTTACCTGATTAATGATTAACTAGACAGTTTCATAGTTATTAGTATAACAATTAACGCTATTAATTTAATTACATTTACAATGTTAAATCAATGAAAATTCATTTTCCTCATCTGTAATTATAATTGTAACTCTAACCTAATTAATAATGATAATAATACCTTAATAGCAATTGATTAACTGGAAGCAATTTAGATTAGTTGACATTGAATGGTACTTAACTGTAAAATCAATAACAATCATCTTCATCTTAATCATCCTCATCATCATCATGTTAACCCTGTTTATCCGGTTCTCATCTCAATGTTAAGGATAAATTGAATTGAAGAAAAATTTTTAATTCGAAATTTTTTTTTCTCTCTTTCTCTTCATCGCCATTTGCATTTTCACCTTGACTTAAATCCGGTTCCTGATTGTTGAAAATTAACTAACCACCACCATCATCATCACTATAACTCTAATAATTGACTGATTGCTGGAATAAATTGTCTAATAACTTGACTATTTGGTGATAATTTTTCTGTTTGAAACCTTGAAAATCGCAAACAAACTGAATCAACTGTTAACTGGTGACAATTTAAATATGATTAATTGGATAATCAATCGACAGCCATGTTGGTTTATAAATTACTCCATCGATGCCGTAAGATTTACGTCAAGATTATCCATTGTATCATCTTTGTCTGCTCAATATCGGCCATTACGATTGGCATGGTCGCCGCGATTCAGGCTCAACACAATATGCCCCCGGGCTCATCGATTAGACATTTCTACTCACTCCATTCGTGGGTCGGTTTGGTTGCTATTGGGCTATTTGCATTACAGGTAAATTTAAATTACGATCACAATTAAGGTACTTTTTATATATCTCGATTGGTATTGGTAATCGATTGGTAATCGTAATGGAGGGAAATTAATCATTCCCTTAATCAGGAAATATTTAAAATCTAATGAGTGTTTCAATTGTTTTGATCGTTAGTTTGGTTAATTGGTAATTCATTGAACTTAATCAATTCGAGAAATAATTATCTAATTGTGTTGGGTTTTCCTTTTTTTTCTGCCACTAGACAAGGTTAATTGTGACAATTAGAATTTAGAAAAATTAATTATGGAAATTTGTTTCCTTTTCTTAGTTATGGTTTGATTGTTAAACTACATCATGATTTGGTTACGATTAATGATTTAGTTAGGTAAACAATTAAGGTGTGCAACTAAAATTTATCAACTGATTAACTAACTGTTGTCACTAAATTAGCATTACAATCATGATTAATTATTATAATAATATTGTGAATAGATTATGTTACAAACTTTCACTTGATATGTTGATTAAACCACAACAATTAAAGGAAAACAATTAGTTAATTTGATAATTTGAAAAGAAACATGATTTCTAAACCATAATGATTAACAATCATCACCCAGAAAAAAAGTGTGATTAGTTAATTGCTTGTCATTTACTTTGTTCAAGAAAAAAGCGTTGACAAGTTACAGATTTAATTGTGTTCAACAATTTGAACAATAATAATATATTTTTCTGGTCACAATTTGATTACAATTAATTAACAACTCAGACTCTAATCTAATGGCAATTAAATATTTACTATTACACAATCAGTTGATGATTACAATTGAAATTAAATTGTCACAATCGATTGTGTGTTAAAAGGCCTGATAACATGAAGGTTAACGGTTGAAGTTCATTACCATTCACCATTTAATTGTGATTTAGATACCAAGTGCATTCTAATTGTTACTAATTTAATTTTACTTTTCTTTAACTAAACTTTTTACACTTAATTGTCAACAGTTTGTTGCTGGATTTGTATCATTCCTGATTCTACTTTGCTGTGATAAAGCAACTGCCAATTTCCGAGCTCGACTCTTACCAACTCATGTAACTTTTGGCTTAATTATTTACAGTTTATCAGTAATTGCTTCAATTTCTGGTTTACTTCAAGTAGCAAGATCAAGATTAAGGTAAGTTCATTAACTTTAATTGTCAACAATCAATACTAAGAAAACAATTAATCCACCAATCAACTGATCATACTCAAGGTATCAACCTAATAAAAGTCAAACCAATTGACAATCACAAGAGAATCAAGAATAACAATCAAAAGGTGATTACAATTAACTTAATTTGTATATTAGTTAATCAATTTACTATTTGATTTGTTAAGGATTTAGTACCTTAGTTGATTGCTAATTACAATTGAACGTTTAATTGTGATTACATTGATTACTCTCAATAGTAGCAGTCAGATAAATTGAATTGCTACCTGATAATAATAATACTTATATGTTGTTTATTATCAAGTTAATCAAACCAAACCTTTGTTGAGATTGTTAATTGTTACAAGACCAAGCCTGTTAATTATATTTTAAACTGTAACGAAATTAACTAATCACAAAGTTTTGCTTTTTTTTCACTACTTTGATTACATTGAACTTGTTAATTGTTGTTGTTTTAATTGGAGATAATTAATAATATTTGTTAATATTTGAATGTATTTAAAGTTATATTGGTTTTACTTGTTGAGGAAAATTTTTTCCACAATTTAGGTTGATTTGCATGAGAAATTAAAAATTAACTTAACACTGTTAAATCAACAACAATTTATGATAGTTAAAACCTTGAAAATTTATAAATATATGAAAATACAGCTCAACAATTAACTTAAATAGTGAACAATTTAGTTAAACAAATTTATCCAACTCGCAGTTGAACAATAATTTAACTGGGAAAAAAATTTTCGCTTCTCCAACAATCAAGGACTTAATTTGATTTCTTTTTTTTTCAGCGAGTTTAACCTTGCTTAATTGCTGTTAGTTAGTTAATTGTAAATGAGAAAGGTCTAAAAAAAGGTTAATTGTAATGATTAATCAGTTAATCAACTGTTTAAGAAAAAAGTTTCGAATTGACAATCAAATTTGATTGTGTTGGTAAAGAAAAAAAGTTTGCGAAAAAGTTTTTTTTACTTCTTCCTGAGTTACTTTTGATTGTTAACAATTAACATTTGATAATTATGTTAATTTAGTTAATATACTTTGTTGATCATCATCTTGATGATATTTAATTGTGATCATGATTGTTAATTGAAATTGTTTTCAGGTTAACGATAACTATTAGGATTCTAATGGTTAAATTTTTTTTTGTTGAATCCAAAGAAATCAACAAATTGTTGTTAGTTGATTGTCAATTTAATGATTTTCATGTTTCTGTATAACTGGATTTAAGTGTAATTTAGTTAATTGTGGTGATAATAGAAAAAAAAATTTACTTGATAAATTGTTATTGGTCTCGACAATTTAACTCGATCACTTCCAGTTAATCAAATTAAGCTCATTGTTAACCTTGATTTTTTTTGTCTATCAAATTTAATTGTTGGTTGATTATCAAATCAATTACTCACCCAAAGCATATCATCAAAACATATGATCAAATAATATGATTAATTGTATTGATTACCTGTTAACAATTTGTTTATGATCCAGTTGACTATCAATCAGTTGATTCAGTGATTAGCTGATTGTTGCTGTTGGTAATATACTTAATTTAAGGTAAAACTGTTAATATGACAACAATCAAATTCAAATCAAATGTAATTGTAATTGTAAACGGTAGTTACTTTTTCCCGTAATGATTAACTTTAATTGTCAACAGATAAACAAACAGAAAGAGTGATCAACAATTTGAATAACAATTATACTCAATACTTTCACCATAATAAGTTAATTTAAATGAGTAGGTAACAATTAAGATAAACAATTTAAAAACATGATAAAAGTTTGAATATTATAATGATAATAATATACAATTGATGGAGATCTGGAAAAAAACAGTTAATTGTTAACTTGATTGATCAAATGATAAGTTTTTGATCATTCTAATGGTAATTAACATTAATGGTTAGTAAGGATAACAGGGCCCTGGCTTGATTAGAGTTAATTGTAACTCTCAATTGTGAACAATTTACCGTTCCAATGATTAGATGATGGAGGAAAAAAATTTACCAATTTTCAGCTTCATCTTTTTTTCATCATCATCATAATCATAATCATCTTCATCTAATCCTGTAAAAACTGACCTACATTTAGAAATGATTATAATCATGATTAGTGAAAGAGGAAAATGATCATTGTAATAGTAACGATTAAGAGAGAGAGAGAGAGAGAGAGAGAGAGAGAGAGATGATAAGATGATGATGATGATGATATAGTTGGTTGATTATTGTATTAACAATTAGGCCTGACAATTGATTACGATCTGGTTACAATCAACATTTATTGAAGCAAAAATTGTCACCAACTGAATAACTTTTTCCTACTTTAATTGTTACAGTTTTCGGTGAGTTAGTTAATTAAAGTAACAATTTTTTACTTCCATTCATCAAAAAATCGTCTACAATCAAATTTAATTGTCGTTGATTGAATCATCATTATTAATTAAGCTTCGATTATGATTAATAATAGATTTGATTGTTTTCACTTTGCCCGATAACAATTTAATGAAAAAACTTTTTCTTGTTTGCATCTCAATGATTATCTTAATTGTTCATGATTAGTTTAATATTGTTAATTGTTGAAATGTTTAATTTAATTAGGCTGATCTTTTAATCTGATTGATTTAATTTGATTCTTAATTCGTGATTAACTTTAATCTGGAAATGGTTTTAATTTAATTGTCCTAAGGTTTTAGTTTTTGCTTTAATTGTTTAACCGATTAATACATTTCCTTGATTAAAATTGTTTCTTAATTGTGATTAAAGTATTTTTTGTTTTATTTTAATTGTTAACTCTCCTTGTATGTGATTAAGGTGTTGTTATCATTTTTGATTACAATTAAATAGTAACAACAAACAATTAATTTCCGCCTTCACTTTTGCAAAAATTTGATTCAGTTCCTTGATTTTTGATTTGGTTAAACAATCAATTGAAAGTACAATTAACTCACTAATCAACTGACAACAATTAAATATCATCAAATAGTTTAGTTTAAAAACATTTAATTATTATTATCATTTAAATTGTTGTCAAGAAAACCTAATGATCATCATCACAATTAACTTAATTGTTGTAGGTTGATTTAAATTTTTACATTTCCCTCTCTCTTCATGTTCAAACAATTAGTTAATTGTTGAGATAGTGAAAACATGCTAATCAGTGATTAAGAAAACTATGTTAATCATTCAGCCAGAGTTAAATTGTTGATAACTTAATCAATTGATTGTTGAATGTGTTAAATCAATGATCCAGAAAAGGTTTTCATTAACTAATTGATTAACAATCAAATTTAATTATCAACCATTTGAATTAATGATTGACTGAGATTTAGACTTAATTATGTTTCTCATGTGAAAGTTAATTTTTTTTTGCAATTTCTTATTGAGTAACAATTAGTTAATTGTCCAATAAAATTAAAAAGCCTTTCCAATTTTCCAATGATTAACAATTTTCTTAATTGTCTCAATCAAATTTAATTTATCTATTTGACTCTCATCAATTTTTTTTTTCAATTACAATTACACTTAATTGGAGTTATATTGAATCACCAACATGATTAACTTTTAACAGAAACAACAATTAACCTTGAAGTCAAATAATCAACAACTAATCAAAGTTATAATCAAAACCTTGACTTAATATTTGTAATAATATAAAACTGATTGTAATTTGTAATTACAATTAATTTTAATGACAACAAGAATGGGGAAAATTAAATTAAATTGTCTCCAATATCATTGATTAAATATTAACCATCTTTACAAACAATTAAATTAAATTTTCTGTGTACGTTGCTATGGTTACGATAGCAATCAATTGATGATGATCAAAATTAATTAATCAATTGTTAACAATACAATTAACCGTGCGGGTAACTTGCTAATAATGTCAATCAAAGGCTAACAATTTAATCAAATATTGGTGTTGAATTGATTAAAATTGATCATCATCATCATCATCATAATACTATTAACAATTAACAATCAACAACATTGATTGATGAGAATGATTAACAAACAAAAGTAAACCTGGATTACAATTAAAGCTCATGTTTAAATTAACACAATCTTTCAATCAGCAATTAATCATGTCAATTAAAACTAAATTGTTATGATATGTTAATGATGAGTATAAACAATAAACAACAATTTTTTCAATTGTGATCATGATAAAAATAATCAAATTGAGTTCATGATACTTGATTAATGATTAGTTAACAATGTTGTTAGTTGATTGTAATAAGTATAATGTTTAAATTATTGATTTAAACAACAACAATCAAGTTAATCAACAATCAAAACCATTAGACAGTTGAATGTATGATGAGAAAAAAAATCAAATCAAATCAACAATTAGGTCAAGATCAGCCAATGATATTATAAAGTAACAGTAATAACTATTAACAATTAACATTTCGCCATAATCACAATCACAATCAACTAATTATTTTCAATGTTATCTTCAAAGTCATTGGTCATTTGGTCAATAAGAATGAGTTTTGTTGAAACTTTACCTGATTTTTGTTCATGATGAAAATTGAATCATAAGAAACGATTGAAAGTCCAGTTTTTAATAAATGACCGGAGGGGTTAGAGTGATGATGAACTAAAAATCTCTCTCCATGAAGAAAAAGAAACTAAATTAAACCCTCAGAATTAATTTGATCTCTTTTTTTTTGTTCTCAACTAATCAATTCAATCGCCGTAAGGAAATTCAATCATGATTAAGATTAAGAGAGATACATAAAAGTTATCGTTGCAAGAGAAACAATTTTTCACCGTTAATTTTACCCTGAAAATGAAAGAGGGAGACAGAACTCAGTGTGATGATAATCAGTAAACTAGATCAATCAGAATCTCCTCTCACATACAAACATTATCATCCAACATCATCATCATCATCTTCATCTTCACCTCCATCTTCATCCCAACAGGCAACTTCTAGTTAATAGTAAACTCAATTTTCTGGTTTCCATTAAAATCTTACCTTATTTTTTTTAAGCCTCTCACTTGAATACTCACCTTTTCTTGATCATCATCATCATCATCATGCTGATCATGATGATGATCAGTAACAATTTACCTAAATTTAAATCAATAAAAATGTTAAGGACATTCAAGCTTCTAATTATTAACCTCCAATAAAATATATTAGGTCAAAAGTGGGAATTGACTATTTCAATGGTTTACTAAGAAACAATTAACTCGTACCTTTCATATTAACATTTAGATGATTATAATTATGTCCTGGTCAGTTGATTGGATTAAATGGATTGGTCAGTAAATGTTGTTTTCTTCAAATTGTCTAATTTGTTTCTCTCTATTTCCTTTTCCTTTACAGTGGTAAAGAGGGTAAACCCAATTACAAGGAGTTCGAGGAGCCAACAATTGTAATTAACGCTGTTGGATGTTGTATGATTGGATTAGCGATTATCCTTCCATACATAATCCGTAATTGTGGACAACGGTCAAGACACAGCCCTGGTTTCCATATATCACATTAATTTTCAATCTGAAAGCTTAACCATTGAAACTTTTTGATGAAAAGTAAAAACAAAAAGGTAATTAGTTGATTTTTTTGTTTCTTCTTCTTGTTTTTTTTGTTAGAAATTAAATTTTAATTGTTTCTAATCTTATTATTATTCTTAGGCCATCATCAGGATAATCACTTTCATCTCCATCCATCATCATAATTAATTAATCATCTTCATCATCACTTGATTCTCATTGGTAATTTTTATATTTGACGATTTGACGAAAAACAACAATTAACTGTTGGAATTAAAGGAAAAAAAAATGTTTCAAACAATCAAAGACAATCAATTGATTTAATTTTTCATCTTCTTCGCTGCTTCATCAAAACCACCAAAATTAATAAATTGTTTCCAAATTGTTACAATCTCATTGCTCCCAAATTTTCATACTGATTCATCTTGTTTTTTTAATTTCTTGTTTCAACTTTAACTGATTATTATTATTATTATTATCTAATTAATTTTCTTGCTAATTAAATTGATCACTTGATGATTAAATTATGTATACAAATAACCAAATGATTTAATAATGCGATTTATATACAATTCACAATTTGTGATACAATTTCACGTGCATCTCACAATTACAAGAGCTAAATCAAGATCAAAGGCCAAATTAAGATAATAAAAGTGACCTTAGGTCACATGATAGTTAACGGAAGGGATGAGTTTTATCATATGAGCAGCCAATGAACGGCAAAGATAAATAAATGCCTAAGAATCGATGCTCAGTGATCATATCGATTGCCCCACACTTTGTTGATATCATTATTGATATTGTGATTCTCGAGTTAGATTATCTCATTCAGACTCATAATCTTTTCATCTGTTTCTCAAAAATCCTCCAAATGACCTGCAAGTACACTAATCAACTGAATAACTTTCATACTCTTGACCTTGAAATACGAACTTGGGTCAACCGACCACAGAACAAATCTGGACATTTATTAGTCGAGTAGCTTTTGAGTGAAGCCGGAGAGCAATCGGTAGCCGAATAATTTTAACTGAAGAAGCCACAATTATCTTCAGGCCATTAGTTCAAGATCCCATGAACGGTCTAGGTGATTAGATCCAATCGGATTGGAAATCCAAATCATATCCTAATAGATTATCTTAAATGCTTCATAATTATATGAATATGATGATCGCCCCCTTTTTGTTATTAATATCAAACGATTGTGTTCAATATGGATATTAATAGATTAATGTTTGTGTTGATTTAATCATTAACTGAATCAACGGTTGGTAAAATTTGATTAATAAACATTTATTCAAAGTAATCAAGTTAATCAATTGATTCCTGTTCCTCATTTTTTTCTGATTCACCATCATAATCAAAGATTCAGCAAAAAAAAAGCTGATTAATTGTCTCATTAAAAAGTAAAACCAGTTCATCAACTATTCAATCTGTTAACTAATCAGTGACATTAAATATGCTTACAGTAAATCACTACAATCAGTTGATTGTGAGAGGAAAAAAAATCTTGTCACTTAAGTGATTGCATTTAAATGTTTATCATTTGATGTAACATTTTATGATTTATTAGCCTGTTTCATATTAAATAATGACCTTTAAATAAACCAGTTTTTCTTAATTGCCTTTTAGTTAATCAATTAACTTGGAAGCAAAATTAAAACTCTTTAAATTAATAATTAAGTCAAGAAAAACTTATTTGATTAAATTTCTCATTTTCTCACCAAGAGATGGCACCACAACCTAAAAACGATTGTTACGCCATCTCTTTTGTAGAAACTGAACTTTCAGGATTAATTTTTTTTAATTTTTTTCTAATTTTAATTGAAATTAATTATTAAACACAAATTCAATTAAAACAATTGACAAATGATTTAATATCGTAATTGATAAAGTGGTTAATATTTGATTGAAATTTTATGATTTTCTTTGGGTTTTCAGGTTGATTTTTGAACTTAATTGTTGTTTGTTGACTAGAAGGTAAAAGTTAATTGTTTTAACAGGGAAATCAGGCCAAGAAGCAATTAAGTAATTAGAAAAACAATTAGCATTTAAACATGTCACATAAAAGCTTTTCCATTGGTGTATTACCAATGGTTCGTTGAAAATAAATGGCACCAATTTTTTCCGCAGCAATGAAACGTAAAGAGACCAAGAGTAAAAGTAATCGACCAAATCTAATCAAAGATGGAAAAGTTAATCAACACCATTTTAGACAATTAAAAGTTGAAAAACCAATATTAATTATCTCAATTACCTTGTTGGACTTGATGGATTACGAGCTTTCTCATGTTGAAGTAGCATAATCTGAGCTTGATCTTGCATGTTTTCAATTCTGATTACATCTTTAAGTCCTCGAGCCTCTGATTAGATTGAAAGATAAATCAATGATTAGATTGTTAATTGTTGTTGCTATTGTGATGATCAATTGATTGTACTAACCTGGTTTGAATAGAGAGATTGCCTTTAGACAAGCAAATTCACCTGGATCAACAGCGATTGATTTAAATCTATTGAAAATATCGTTTAGAACTCGAAGATCACCAGTTCGATCACCTGATGAGATATTTGAACAATTTGTTTCGCTTGATGAATGACTATGCTGATGATGATGATGATTTTGATGATGATGATGATGATGGTTATTTGGTGAATGAGATGATGAAGATGATGAGGGTGGAGTTGATGAAGATGAGGAAATATTTGAAATGGAAAACATTGAACAATTGTCCAAAGGTAAACACCATTGGATGGCACATAAAAGAAACAGTTCTGACCAAGATTCCTCCAAAAGGATAACCTAAAAATCAGAGTTAATTGTAATAACAATCAATAGAAAATGATCAATTTCAATTACTAATTCGAGTGTTCAATTGTTGTTACCTGATCACGAAAAGTTAAACTACCAAATGAAGGTAAATTTTTAGCCCATTTAACGGCCATGAACAATAATCGAGCTGATGTTTCATAGATTGACTCTTGGTGACAAGGTAAAAGTCCAGGTAAACTTGAAGTGTCCAATAAAAATGCCGATGGCATCGGTTGGTGTTGTTGTTGGTAAACAAATGCATGAGCCAAAGTATTTGTCAAATTAGTGCCATTGGTTGACAATATTGAGGAAGATGAAGATGAGGACGATGATGAAGTTGCTGCTGATGTTGTTGTCGGTGTAGTTGTTGGTCCAACAGCTGATACCTGATAAGAACCTAAATGATTACCACTTGAATTGTATTCGAAGTGTCGAGTTAACTCCAAGTTGGATGTTAAATTACGTGCTGATCATCAGGTAGTTAGAGAGATAATCGAAAAAGAATTCATATATTAGATTGTAAATGGTAACAGAGAAAAATTCGAAGGTAAAAAGAACTGCAAGATAATTCAATTAACTTAGAACTCGAGAAGAGGAAGAAAAAAAAACAAATTCGACGTCAAAATGTTATCGCGAAAAAGCAATTTAAATGCTAACATCTAATGCTAATGTTATATTCTGATTCTTATTCTGATGAGATAATAATAGTTTCACTTAGAATTGTGGATTCTTCATGATGAGGATGAAATTATCATCATTATAGGATCGAAATGTTATCCTCAATCTTATCAACTCGATAATAGAGATATAGAGTTGCCTTTGGAATTTGCTTTCTGACTATTCAATGTTTTTCGAAATTTAGTTCTAAATAATATGATTATTATTTTTGGTCCAATTTTTTTTCCTCTTTGTTTTCGTTTCCATTTTACCTTTTCCATTTTCATCTTTTGCCTCATTTGAACCATTTCGAGCTCGACCAGTAGTATTATTAGAACCACCTCCTCCTCCCACCATCAGTGATGGACTTGATTCTGATGAAATTTGAAATGAATTTGTCACTGGGAATCCATGGATTGCTCCATGGTTAGAACTGGAATTCAAACCTCGAATACCTATTACATTAAAAGAATTCAAACAAATCGATAAGAATTTTCTTCTCTCTCTCTCTCTTTTCTTTCTTATTTTCGAGTTTCCAAAATTGAACTAAACGAGAACACGAAAAATAGGAAAAGGATTTCATCTCTTTTTCTCAACATAGTTCATACGATAGAAGTTCTTGAAGAAAGAGAGAGAGAGAGAGAGAGAGAGAGAGAGAGAGAGAGAGAGAGAGAGAGAGAGTACTTTGAAAAGGTTTCGAAGGTTCGAATTTGATCCATGATGGAAAACAAATAAAGGTAATTTTGTTCTATTTCGAATTTTTTTCTTCCTTTTCTCCCTTTCGATTCTCTACTTTGTAATCTTCATTTTCTGAACTTTTCTGTAAATTTTGATCATCTTCTTCTATGATGTTCTTATTCGTATTTTTAGAACCAAAGAGAAAAATAAACTTGCGAATAACAAAAATCTTTCCTCTTCAACTTGATCCAATTCTCTCATCATTAGATCTTCCATGAGAAACCCTCGAACTCAAAGTTCTAGTCAGAGAAATTCATCCTATAAATATTTCTTTTTCTCCACCTCCTCCTCATCCTCTTTCCACCTCGAACTCATCTTATTATATCATTCATACAACAGAAGAAGAAGAAGAAAAAATAAATATTTTCTCTTCCATAAGAATCTTCAGTAATCACCACCATGAAATCCCCACTCCCTTGTGTCCGAAAATCTAGAATCATTTGTCCATCATTAATACTGACAATCCATATAATCTTATATCCATCTTGATAACGAATCATCAATAACAACAATCAATTCAATAAATATACGAAAAAAGTTTCTCTCGAAACAATCAAATCTCGATAACAATTAACTAACCTGAATTAACTGTTGTGAACAAAGCGTTTACTGTCGCAGCAACACCTTCCCTTAAAAGCCGTTCACTTTCACCGTCATTAAGTAAAGTCTCAGGTCTAATTGTTGCCGTGTTTCGAGGTTGCCTTTCATTTTGAACAGCTACAATCAAGAGGGAGAGATAATTGTAACAATTAACCAACAATCAACTAATAGATTTAAGGTTTAACTTACCATCTTTGTTCATTCCCATTTGGATACATTTTTTCAATCGGCAAGCTTGACATTGGTTTCGATGTTGCTTATCAATGATACAACTTCCAGTTCCTGCTTGACACCTAAATATTTACATTATTTAATAATAATATGATGAACAATTAGTTAATCAATTGAAATGTCAGAAAATGTCAACCAGTCCAAGTAATAAAAAGCTCTTGTAAAAAGATCACAATCAAATCAAATTAAATTCAAACTGTGACTGAAGGAAATGTTTTCATCATTCCCTGAATGAGTTTCAATCTAATCTTGATATTTATCTCATTTCCAACTGAGATTTAGAGATGAACTTAAACCCACCCCCCTGATGATACACACTCACACCAGTTATCACCCACCATGGATTCTGGAAAGTGTGTGCCTGTGATAGTGATTAGATTATCAATTACCATCGTAATCTGTTGATGTTGTTTAGATGATGATTAAGTTACAATCGAGTAAAAAATAAAATGAAATAACAAACTTGTGATCCGCTTAAACATCATCATCCACCAAGATTAACGGATTAACAGATTAGTCAATCAGGATTGTGATACTTGAGAGATAATATCAAACTTTGGTGACACTGATTATCTGATTGTTATCTTATAGTAGGTTAAATTGTTCATCATTATCAATTTGATGGGTGAAAAAAAACTCAAATCAATTAAGTTTCCTAATCATATTATTTAAATTAAATGAGATACAATCATTTGTATCTCATTTGGTGAAACATTTTTTGTCTTTGTCACAATCTAATTGTTGGAGTGAAAATTTTTCTACTCAACAATTAATTGAGATGAAACAAACAAATCAACAACTAATGAGCAAAATGATTAAATGCTTTTAAATTGTGATTATTGATTATCTCATTTGCATCTTATGTAAGTGTATTAGTTAATTGTTTCAATTGAAAAGTAAATCATTAGTTTGAAAAAAGGGGAAAATGTAAAACTATTATCATCAGGATCACGTTTTCTTTTCATTTAATTGTGTAATTAAAGTGTTAATTGTTAAGAGAAATCGATCAACTAACCTGTAAATTAACTTTCGACGGACAGATCGCTTGAAGAATCCAGAACAACCGTTACAGGCCAAAATTCCGTAGTGTTTTCCACTCGAAGTGTCACCACAAACGACACACATTAAGCCAGGGGATGGACGTTTAATTGAGGCCGATGATGTTGATCCGGCTGAAGATGAGGATGAAGTTAGACCTCGACTAGTGGTCATTTCGTTGGTTGACTCGGTTGGAACTCGAGTGACCCGATCATTTATCTAATGGAAATGTATATAAGTAGAAATTGGAAAGTTAAAAGGTGGAGGAAAAAAGGTCAGGTCGAAATTGCCGTTTTCGTCTTACATTATTTTGAGAGTTTTTTCCCTCCTCCTCCTCGTCATGTTGTTGAGTCGGAAGTGGACTTGGTGTTGGTGATCGTGTCAATACAATTGAATCAGGTTCTGAACTTCTTGACCCATGGTCAGAGTGATGGTTGTGTAATTGGTGGTGATTTAAATGGTTGTTAGAAGTTGTAAATTGATTTAACTCATGCTGTCGACTTGAATGATGGTGATGATTACGATGAGTGTTGATTGATTGTGGATGGTGATGATGATGATGATGGTGATTATTATAATGATGGTGGCTATTACGATCGGTGGTGGTGCTTGAAGAAGTGTAACTGATTAGTGGACTATTTGATTTCTCTTGTTCATCTTCATCTTCCTCTTCATCATTATCTTCATCTTGTTCAGATCTTTTTCTCTTTCTCCCTTCAACTCCCAGTCTTCCTCTACCACTTTCCTCTTTCATTTCTCCTCCATTAGAGTCAATATCAATTCGGTTTCGGTTTCCAGTTCCGTTTCCACTTGAAGCCAATTGAGATCCACTCATTGAAAGATTCAAAGGACACCCGGAATTAGCATGTAACGTGGCGGTGGGAGTTAAGATGGGCTTGAATAGGTTTGGAGCCATGAACAGGGGAGGACAAGTTGCATGGAGAGAGGTGAAAAGTGAAGATGAAGATGAGGTTAAAGTGGTTGATGCCACCGCTGCTGCTACGGCTGCTGCCGCTGCCGCTGCTGAAGTTGAAGCTGATTCAACTGATGATAAATCAGCAGAATGGTGTTGATGGTGCAAATTTGGTGACAGATAATGATCATCACCATGTTCATCATCATCCGCATCAATATCAACATTAACTGAATGATTATTATCATCATCATGAAGGTGAGATGAAAGTTTACCACCACCAGATTGTCCACCACCATGGTGATGATGATGGTCAGTTAAAGGTGATGTCATTGTAATTGATTTACATCTTCGACTCATCTTGCAAACTCGAGGACGATGATGATGATTATGATGATAACCTGATCTATTTATCGATGATGATTCATGAGAGGGTGAAATTGATTGACACCTCGAACCTGATTCACTGAGTCCACCATCATCAGAATCAGATCTTGAACAATCTAATAATAATTAACATACACAAAGAAACAATAATCTATCAGATGTACCAATCAAAATAATGTGCTAATTGTTATAACAATTGAACTAATTTAATTACAATACCATGAAAATTGATAATCTAATTGAATTTTGCAAGACATGATTATGATAAACAACAATGAAAGGAAAAGGTTTAACAGTAACAATTTAGATGCAAAGATCCGGAAACAATTTAGCAAATTGAGCAAACAGCAATATAAAGATCATAAAGATACAATCAAAAAAAGAAAGATGATCAAGATGATGAGGATGAAGATAAAAGATGAAGATGATAACCAGGAAGACCGAGAAGATGATAAAATAAACTCTCTTTTTGTTAAGCCTACGATTCATTACTTTATTATGATGATCATTACAAACACATCAATAGATAAACAAAGTGGTTCAAGGAGGAAGAAGATGAGGATGAGGATGAGGAGAGAGAGAGAGAGTGGGTGGTGGATGATAAATAGATAGAGATGAAGATGATGATAAAAAAGGATTTTATCTTCCTTTCTGATCGTCATCATCATTCAAAATGAAAGATAAGCTCAAGTCAAATCAAGCTTATAAAACCAAATCAAACCCTTAATCCGATGTCCAACCATTTGATTATTTGTCATCATTGTGTTTTTATCATCATCTTTTATCATCCTCATCCTCATCCTCATCCTCATCTTCATCATCAACAAGCAAAAGATGCACTTTTCTAGTTCAGACTTAAATCTCAATCGACCCTCCGGTTGACTGATAATATTTATATTTATTATTACTTCGAGTTCTAAGCCGATTAAAATGTTGTGTTTTCGAACTCGACGAAAAGTTCTAATATCATCTAATCGAATTATTTTTCTCTCTCTTATTTTTTCTTCTTCTTTCAAACTTGACATTCTATTCACTTTGTTAACATTTGAAGTGACTTTTATCATTTTATCATCAACGTTTCGTAATTGTTGATTGATTTTGGAGAAAGAGTTTCAATTGATTGATTATCGGAATTAATTATTTGTCTTTTTTACTTTTCTAATTTTGATCAACTTTTTCTCCATGGAAACTGATTGTTGCATCTCTGTTTAGTTTATCATTGTTTATTCATTGCCAAACTAATATACAAATTGCTTACAATCAACACTGTTTATAATCAGCAATCAGATTGATTGTGTTGTTGTTGTTGTTGATTCAATTAAGGTTAAATTGTCAAGGGACAATTTCTCAACCTTTCAACTTGTTAACAATTATTTTAATCTGATCAGTAAATAGATTAACCCACCAGAACCTTGGTTATTGTTAATCATCATGATAACTGTTAGAAATCAATTCGATCCGATTGCCTGATTGATTTAATCAATTTAATGTAAAAATCATACAATTTGTATTACCTCAAGAATCAATAAGTTAATCATAATACATAATTCAACAATCAAAAGCATCGAGTAAATTAGTTGATTGTTATTAGTGAAAACAAAATTTGTCTCAATTGATTCAACAATTTTCAATGGAAAGTTTCATTTAAATTCATTTAAAATTAACTGATTATTATTTACCTGTTTGTTGATCATCACAAGGTTTAATTGTTTTCTTGTTGATCACTTCCTGATCCAAATCCATGTGTGGCAATTAAATTGATTTAATCATCAACAATTATCAATAACACAAACAAAAAACAATCACTGATAATCAACTGAAATTGATTTAGTAAAGGTAAATAGGATTTATATAATTATGAGTTAATTGTTGATCTTAAACTTTGAAAGCCAATTGAAAATCACCAAATCAAAGACTAATTGTTAAAGTTAATTGTTGAAAATCAAAAGAGGAGAAAAGTTGTTAATTGATTGTTAGAAAGTTGATTTGTTGGATGAGGAGGAAAAAAGTTCTAAAGACCAAGAATTGTTGATTTTTCGAGGAGGAAAATTTGTTCGAAGGTGGCAAAAGTGGGTGGGAAAGTGGGAATCACATAATAATAACACTAAAAGTGGCAGTGAGATGATGATAATGATGGAGATGATGAAGATAAAGGATGAAGATGATGTAAAAAAAGTAGTGAGAGTTGATTGAGCTCTTGATTGTCATTGGTTATCTTTTACCTCCTTGGAAACGCCTTCTCATGATCTTAACAGTTTAACTTGATTCCTCCTCCTTCCCACTCCCACCAACCAATCAATAACCCACCATGTATATAATATTATATATTATTAATAACCTTTCCTATACTAAGGGTGGGGAGGGTAAAGATGAGAATGATAATGAGAGAGAGAGAGGAAGAGGAAGAGGGAGGGAGAGGAAGATAGAGAAAGAAAAAATTTCAATTCTATCCATAGATTCAGAGTATTTTCATCCTCATCTTTTTTTCTTGTGCTTTTTTGGCTCATCAATTTTCATCTTCATCTTCATTTACATGATGATGATGATGATACATGAGGATGAGGATGAAAAATAATAACAAGTTAACTTTGCTCTTGACAGTTTAAGTTATACACAATTGGTTATCATTTATCATTTATCATGATGATGAATACAATTGGTAATTGTTATATACTTTCAATCAGAATTGTGATTGGGAAATGAATTTATTGATTCAATTGGGCTCATATTTATCATCATCACACTTTTGATGATGTTCATTATCATGATATTGATCAGATTTCTCATCAGAATCACATGGAATGAGTATTGAGCACAAAAAAAATGTGGAGAGGAAAATGTTCATCAGATTATGTTAAAGTTCAGTGAGCAAAAGAAATGATGAAGATGAGGATAAATTGTAAGGAGCTGGGAGACAGTGAGGGAAGATGATGAAGATGAATGATGAGACAGGTAGAAGATGAAAAGGTAAGTAAAGTTTGTGAAAGAAAATAAGTTAATCAGAGCGAGAGAGAGAGAGAGAGAAAAAAAAAGAAACAAGAATAGAAAAGTAATTATTTTATTTCGACAGAATTTTTTTCTCTTCTATCATCATCATCATCTTCTTCTTCTCATCCTCATCCTCAGAATATTAAGTTCACTGGGAGTAAAAAATTATCTTCATCTTATTTTCCATCATGATAACAGTCAAGATGAACTCATGGTGACATTTTCAATCGTAATTGAAATTTACCTTTCAACTTAATTCTCATCTTGATCTCTCTCTATACATTTAAGATGATTGAACAATTAAGCTTAATTGTAGACAATTAATCAACTACCATGATAATAAACAAAAAAAGTTTTCACTTTAAAAATTTACAACAAAATTAAATCTCTAATCAAATGATACAAACACAAATGATTAAGTAAATGATGATAATCAAAGTAAAAGCTTTTACTAAACTAATTTAAACTAAATTAGTTTGCCTGTTAATGTTAATTGTTTGCTATTTTATCATTTTGTTTTTGCATCTTGATTAGGATGAGGATGATAAAGCAAAGTGTTTACTTTATCATCCTCATCCTCATCATCATCATCAACTTACAATCAGGTTAACCATGAATTCAAATTGTCTAATTTACTTCAATTGTCACTATTAAATCAGTTTTATATTTACAAGTCATTTTATTATCATTATATATAAACTATTATCATCTTCGTCATCCTTTTTATCATCTTATGCCTTTGAATATGATATGAGCATCAGTGGGGTAACAAAACCCACCCCACCTCATGAAGATGATGATGATAATATGATTTCAAGCCATAATCTGAAAGACAAAGTATTAGGATGATCAAGGGAAACAAAACAATTTTGACAAAACCGGATTAACATTGATTCAGTTAATACCTTTGGTAATTTATAATATATATCATTGTCTTCATCAACCTCGATCCACTCCATCATCCCACCCGAACATCATCTTAATCTTCATCAGTTTGATTTGATTGATTTAATCACCTGCAAACATTTAATTTTATCAATCTGATTATATGAGATCAACTTTTTTATTTCATTTTCTTATTGTTTCAATTTCAAATTTAAATATAAGACTAATTGTCTTACTTTGGTTAATTATAAGCAAAATTAATTGTTGAAAATGATGTAGAGAAAATTAAACAATTGGATTAAATGTTATTTAGGGCAAATTGTAAATTAGAATCAAAATATTTGATTGTTTGTTAAACTCATTTAGTTACTAAAATCAGATGAGGTAATTTAATTTTATCATGTTAATGATTAATGACTTTTGGACAATCAATTTAACATAGCAAATTGATTTGGATAACAACATATTACCCTTGTGAGTAAATTAAATTGTTACCTTTGGACAATCAAATCAAATAAGATAACAAGATAATGGGAAACATTTCATCACATTTCATTGTTACTTTATCTTCATCTTTATCTCCATCCCCATCCTCATCCTCATCCTCATCCTCATCTTTCAAATCACTCCCACCGTGACTATGATTTACCAATTTGATAACAATTGTAAGATAACTTTGATCATCATCATCAACTAAATTAGATAATTAGATAAAATTGTGATTCGTTTTCAATGAATGTTTCTTGTTATCATCATAATCATCATCATTATCATCATCTTAACTGTAACATTGAGAAGAGTCAAAAACTTGATTGACTTACAATAATAACAATCAAGGAAAAGGTTTCTATTGTTAAACTTGATTTCGTGCTCATAGTTAAGGTTGAGAATGGTGAGACTCGGTGATGATGAAGATGAAGATGAAGATGATGATGGTGGTGGTGGTGGGTAAAGATGAAGGTGGTAAATTGCTGTTGATGGACAGAGAGTAAAAACATTTCATCTATTATCACGTTTACCGTTATCTTCATCTTCATCTTCATCTTCATCTTGCTCATGATAATCATCATTACAGAGTGTAAGTATTTTAATCATAGTTGATTGGTTATTATGATTATAATCATTGTGATAAACTTGATAATCATTTTAGTTTTTTTTTGCTTCTCACAATTAATCCGATTGTCACGTGACACTGTTTATTTAGATTTACAATTTGTATAATTCAAAGTTAATTGTAACAGGTTGATGTTAATCTTTGCTATGATATCAATGGTAACGAATTAGTGATTTAAATTTTTCCTCTTCCTCTTCCCATTATCATCCTCATCTGTTTGTCATCATCAGGATAATCTTTTATGATGATGATGATGATGAAAATGATTACCTTGATATTGATGTTTGTATTATCATGAAAATCATATTTAATCAATAACAACAATCAACGGAACAATTGAATTGAAATTATTGTCTATGAGATATTGTCATCTCCTGGAGTGAATTGAATACCCGGTATTGTCAAGGTGAAAATGATGATGATGATGATGAAAAAGTGGGAGTGAAAATATAATGTTGACAATGAGATGAACTTTAAACCCACCCCGACCCAATCCCTCACCCTATGGGTCAACAGGGTGTCCTCTTTGTGTTGATAATTTTACCCAAGACGATCAATTTTAATTGTTGAAATAATAGCAACTTTTGGTAATATGTATTTCCAATCAAATTTTATCAATAAAGTTTCAATTTAAAGTTAACAATTAACTATGATTTTCAATTAGGAGTTGAAAAAGTTTTATTTGATTGTTGTTGTTACTTTGTTGGCACTTTGATTGTGAACGCGTGTCCATCAAGTTTAATCACAATTAAATCAACTGTGTAGTTGTTAAATATATAATCATCAACACGCTTTCCAATCAAAACATTAACAATTAACTAACACACTTTCACAATAACAACAACAGTTAACATTTTTTTTTTACATCACAAACAATTAATTGATAACAATTATCACTTTAAATTATGTTGATGATTACGAGTGAGATTTAGAGGGAAACGTTCAATTAGTTTAATTAGTTGGAATCAACACTTTGGAGTTGATTTTTTTCTCTATCGATATCGATAAATAATCAATAAAGTAGATGAAAATGAAGAAGAAAAAAAATTAAGTTCTAGAACCATATCGAATCCTATAGAATGATAATAATTGCGATTGATAATAATAAAGTTAATCCATTTTCAGGTTGATCCTTTTTGTTTGGGCTTAATATCAATTTGCATCACAATAGGATAAAAAGGAAAGTATCATCATCATTATCATCCTCTGGAGGATGATACAAGGAGAGGTGATAGAGGTTGAAGAAGAGGGAGAGAGAGAGATGATGATGATCATGATGGAGGATGAAAAGACAAAAAGACAAGATAGAAAGAAGCAAAAAGAGAGACATTTGGATGGTGAAGATTTTAGGATCATCTCTAATCCCTAATCTTTTTTTTCTTCTTCTTCCTCGACATTTTAGTCTCTTTCTCTCTCTCTTTTATTTCGAATATTTTTCTCTCTCTCTCTCTCTCTCGAAAAAGTTGATCTGAGTTCCAGATTGAGTCCATTATTCAACATGTCAGGTTATTGGTGGTGGAGGTGGAGGTTGTTGTTGTTACATCTTTGGTATCATCATTAGATTGATATTTTATGTCCATAGGTTATCATTTGATATCCATTATCCTGGTTGATTGTTATTGTTATTGTTATCATTTATTGTCTCTTTCTCTTTGTTTTCGAAAAGGGATTTAGAACTTTTTTTTTCGTTCTAATGTCATTTTATCGAAACTTTTGTTTATCTTTCTCTCTCTCTCTCTTTCTGTTGATAATCAATATTTGTCATTTTTATGTTGATCCTGTGTTGGGATCGAGATGAAAATTTCATTATTTCATTTGGAAATTGAAAAGTTAAAAAATTAAAAGTTCGAGTTCAAGTTCTGTTAAAAAAAAAGTTCTAATTTCTTGTTCCCTTTAATTATTTTCTCATTTTTCTTTTAAAACTTTTTTCTTTTTCTTTTTCCCTCGACTCAAGTTCGTAAAAATTGTTAAATTGCTAATCGTTTTCTTCCTGTTAACACGAGTTTCTTTTTCTCTTCTCCATTAAACCAACTTATCGAATCAAATTCATTTAAATTGTTCCAATAATTGTTTCTAATCATTTCACATTTCGGTCGATTCTCGATTCTAATGTTAACTTTTAATTTTTTGTTTTCGAATTTTATTTGGTTTGTTTTCTATCCACCAGATGGAACAAGTGAACAGGAAGCATCTGTTGATCACGTGACTTTTTAGAAAAGAACATTTTTCTTACATAAGAATAGAAAACCGTTAATAGTTAATCAACTTTTCTGTGATTAGTTTAAACTAATTTAAATTAAATTAACTTTTGTTTATTGGACGAAAATTTAATTCACTAGTTTCACAATGGTTCATGTAAGTACTATTTAAATGTTGACATTTAAACTTTCACCTTCATTAGTGATTAGTTGTAAATCTTTTCTCTTCAAATCTCTCCGGTGTTCTCTTCTCTTTTCTCTTTGTTCCTTTGTTCTCTTCTGGTGCTTTGTTCTATTCTTTTTTTTTCAATCTCTCGTTTTTAAATTCTTTTTGACCTTTAACTCTGTTAGTTTTTTTAACAACAGTTGTTTTCTTTAAATACTATGGGTGAAACTAATTTACCAAGTAATAATGAAGATCAAGACGATTCTCAATCAGGTTCATCTAATCAAGATGCCGGCAATCAAACAGTTAACCAGCCTTTACGTTTTAGCTCTCGGTTTGGCCGAAGACCTGAGATCAGAAATCATCCCTATAATCATTTAGATTTCGTTCGTCTAGTTGATCGTCAGATTCGTTTGACAAACCGGGCACAAGTTTCTGAGGCTTCAGCTGCTGTCTCTGCTATGATTTCTTCTTCTAATCAATCTCTTGATGATCTAAGTGAACCAAGTTCTGGATCACCTGAACCTATTAATGATTTTCAAACGCTTCTTGAATCACAGGTACCCAGAATTGGTATTTTTGTTGTAAGGATCACTGACTTACAATCCAGCCTTGATGCTCTACGAGCACATGACTATGAGTTCATAGTCATTAACGTTGCTCGAGAGGTAGAACGGAATCAAATAATTCCACTTTGTGACCTCTTATTATCAAGCACTGGTAAGTTTTTTCCCCTCTTCCAACAACTGTTCAAATTTATTCTATTCTTTCTATACCTTTTCCATGTGCCTAATATTTGTTCTACTTTCTCTTTCTCTTTCTCTTCATTTCTTTCTTTTCTCAACCTTTAGATTGGATAACTCACACAGCTGCTTATATATCAACCAAAGAGTGTGCTGTCGATTTACCTAGATTCAGGTTTCTTGATGCTCAATTCGACCAGGCTCAACATCTTTCCATCCGTGATATCATCGTTGAATGCCCTGAACATATCGATGCGGTTACTCGATTAAGCCGTGTTTTAAATGCTCGGATGTCTGGTGGTTTTACTCAAAGTAGATTCCACGTTCACTTACTCTTGCAATCACATCGGGCTCAAGCTCACCAGACTCTTGCCAACGCAACAGTAGAACCGTAAGTCAATAGTCCTAGCTAAATAATTAAAGTTTTGTGGTTTGTAGTAATTTATTTGTCCCCTTCTTTTTAGAACTGAAGTCACCCCTCACGATTCCTGGTGTTATTGGAATCATGTAAGATCTCTTGTTGGTTATGATCGTCGATTAGGAGTTGCTCTCGAACTTGATGGTGATCTTCCTGACGAAGATGATTGTAAACGATGGTGTGGTGAAGCAGTTAGCATGCTGATAGTGCCTTTCATCCTTTTCCTACCAGCAGCTAATAACACCCTGGCCTTACCTCAACCTTATGGCGAATTTATCAAATCGTTGCTCCGAACAAACGCTCGCCAAATTTCAATCATGGTTAAAGGTAATATTTCACCAGGAATGCACAGTAGGGTAGTGAAAGCGTTAGCCGAGTATGGTAGACTTTGGGTAACTGAAAGTTTGGTGAATGAATTTGCTATCGGTTATGAAGATTTCCTCCAAGTTCCACTTCAACCATTAGCCGATAACTTGGAGGCTAGTACTTATGAAATTTTCGAAAAAGATCCTGTCAAGTACGAATATTACCGAAGAGCAATGGTAAGAGCACTATCCAAATTCCCTAAAGATCAAAGGGTAGTTATATTGTTAGTCGGTGCTGGTCGTGGACCACTTATCCGAGCTTGTTTATCGGCGTCAGAGGAAACTGGTAGATTAATCAATTTATATGCCATCGAAAAAAATTTCTCTGCTGCTTTTACTCTTCAAAGTCAAACCTGGGTTCCGGCTCCTGAAAATCCTGAGACTCAAGTGAACAAGGTTACAATTGTAAATACTGATATCCGAGAATGGAAAACACCAGAGTTAGCCGACATTTTATTATCCGAATTACTTGGATCTTTTGGTGATAATGAACTTTCACCCGAATGTTTGGATGGTGCCTGGAAATGTGTTAAACCAACAGCAATTTCCATTCCAGAGTCTTATCGTTCCTACGTGGAACCAATCATGTCTCATCGACTTTACACCGAGACATTAGCTGAGTCGGCAGCAAAAGGAATCCAATACACCGACATCCATTTTGTTACCCATATGAAGGGCTTTTTCTCAATGGCTGATGTTAAGCAGCTGTTTGAGTTTGTACATACTGATCTTCATGTACCACCAAGAGATCAGAAAAACGTTAGATACAAGAAGTTAAGGTTCAGGCCACATACCGAGTGCGTTCTTCACGGATTCGCGGGTTACTTTGATACAACTTTAATTGATGATATAAAACTTTCAATTATACCCGAAGCTCATACTCCATCCCTGATTAGCTGGTTTCCAACATGGATTCCACTTTCCGCTCCCGTCAAAGTGACCCCTGCAGACTTAATAACCCTACACTTTTGGCGAAATGTAAATAGACAAAAGGTTTGGTATGAATGGTGCATCCAATCACCAATTCCAACACGAATTCAGAATCCAAACGGTAAATTATACTCCATTGGTCTGAATTCATGATTTCAAAAATCTTAAACTGTTGTATCTTAATATTTTTTTTTATTCAAATTTCCAATTATTAACCAAAAACTATTTGTTTAATTATCATTATCAATTTTCAATCAACATTGTGCCATTTGTATCTACTATTTTCCTGTAATCCCAATTTACATATTAACTAAAACAATAATTACATTCAAATTAACTGTGCCTTATTGATTTAGAAACATCTAAATCAACATTGGTGTAAAATGATCAGATAAAAAAAGTCGATGGATTATAATTACAACCAAATTACAATGGAAAATCTAAACTAAATTGTTTAATTAGAGTTAATTGTTCTCCAGCAATTAGACATTTTGATTCAAAAGCTCCTGAAAAGATGTATCGTTATTGCAACATCCTCCAAAACCATTTCATCGGTGGTAAATAGGATTGTCTGAGGAGAAAGAAAATCGATCAACAATTAAGTCCAACAATTAAATCCAACAACTTACATCTCCAAATCGCTCGGGTGGACCGACCAATTCACCGATCGCTTTGGCAATTTCGCCTCTGAATATAACCACACCGTCCAAACTCATGGTGACAAAACGGATTCCCCTGTAGGAATAGATTCTCGATTTATTATAATTCCAAAATCTAATTAAAACAATTGATATTTTCTCCTGGAATTTAATTGTTAATCGAGTAATAGTAAAAGGTGAATATTCAGTCATCCAAATATGTTGATCATCATGTACGATAAACACCATCGATTAATTTGTTTTCATCTTTTCTACCACAATTACTGGAATCACAAGTTATCTGTTGATTGGAGATAATTAATTAGCTGTTTAAACGAAACAATTTAAATTGTTGATCAAATTTTACCTTTTCTATGATCGCTTGAGTTTTTGTTTTAAGATCAAAAATTTCAATTCCATTGAAACCAACGTAATCTTCATCTCCCCAATTGGATTTAATGTCGATTGTTAATTGTTGACCTTGAGGTAGTTCGGGAATTATAAAATCGGCTTCAATTTCTGGCTCATCTAAACTGACCAGGTCAATATCGGCGGCAGTGTGAGAATCCCGGTGACCCAAATGTTTGCGACGGAAAATTTTGTCCACATCTTGATGATCGTGATCATGATTAGTGTCTATGTAATTATCGGTAACCACTGAGTCCAAACCATCGAGAGCAGTTAACAATAGATTCTCATTGCACTTGTTGTTTAATTGTTCAGCGTTTAATAGTAACAATGATCTATTATTGTTATTGTTTCGATTACAATTAAACATTTGATTCTCTTTGCTGGACAATTTAAAATCGTTGTAATCAAAGAATTGAGAGAGACTTCGATTTTTTCGAGATTCTTTCGGTGTCAACTGAAGTGAACTTCGTCTTGAACTTGGTGAAGATGAAGAAAATGTCGCTGATATTTTGCAATCAATTTCTTTACTCTGGACTAGTTCATTTTCACAGTTCGAAGGTGAATTGATCATCTCATCGGCGTCATCTAAGATCATAATAATGTCCACGTTATCGGAAGATGAGTGACCAGAATTTTCTTGATCCATTTCGATTGAACTAAGACGGAAACTCATATCTTCCTCTTCAAACGAAGACGGTAAAAGAACCTCAGAATGACGTCGAGATTGAATCAGCTCTTGGAACCAAAGTGGCCGACCAAGGCCAGAATTTTCCGTTAACGGTCGAACTCTGTAAACTCCGTTGTGTCTTAATTGTTTATCGTTCTCATGATGAGAAGTGACCTTTTCTTTGTTTCCAGTGAATCGGCTGAAAGGATGAAGATGCTCATCATGTTTACCATGATTCGTATCACCATTTTGTTGAGAATCAACTAACCAGCTAATTAACATCCAACAAAACAAACAGTCCAAGGAAATTTGATTAATATTAGAAAATAATTAACTAACAACAATTAACTTACTCTGGTAGTTTTTCAATTGTAAACGTTTCTTTTGATTGATTGGATAAATTTGATTCTAATGTTGTTGTTGTTGTTATTCCCATAGAGTTCAAAGGTTTACATGTTAAAGATGATTCTCTTTTCTTCATGATTAATCAAATTACAGGGTAACAATTAAGAAATAATTAAAGAGAATCCTGTTGATTAGAAGAATTAAAATTCTAAATGGAAACTAAATTAACAAAGGTTACTAATGTTTCACTTTATTGTTGTATTTGCCAATCCGTTGATTTGATGGTGAACAATTTTTTAAATTGTTACTATTTTAAATTCAAATTGTAATTCTGGTTAATGATGTATCCATGATTGTGGTAATTGTACAATTAATGAGAACTCACAACAATTAACAAGAAACAAGAGGAATTAAATTTACATACAAGAAGAAAACAAAGAAAAAGGTAAATCTCAAGTTAATTGTTCATATTTGTTAACTAACAACAATTAATTTCAGTTGTTCATGTTCATGGATCGTTGGTAATTTTATCAATAATTTTATTCACCATTAATTCAACATCTCCGGTCATTTATAGCTACCAGGAAGTGGCAATTTCTTGTTATCCTTTGATAACCTTTCCCACTCTGATCATCATCAATTTCCCACCGCCACCAACTACAAGATAATATTATCATTCACTTTCACTTTCACTTTCTCTGTCTATTTTTATTTTCTAACTCAATTGATTCTCATTCATTTCTGTTTACAATTTACTTAACTACAACAATCAACATCGTTACCTGGCGATGGAAATTCATCCACCCTCCCTGAAGAGGAGGAGGGAAACATAATAAACCCACTCCGAGATCTTTCATTTACCTGAAGGTCAACGACTCAAAAGATAATCATGAAAATCATATCGATTATATTTCCATCATCTTTGTAATTATTTCAATTGTTTTAACAACAATTTACTAATTGTTGTTCAATCAAGATTATCAATTACCTTTTGGAAGGTCAAAACTTAAAGGTCATTTCATTTTCTTCAAGCTTTTCCATGACCCTGAGTATCCGTTCAGTTAATTGTTGTTGTCATCTAATTGTAATCAATTTCATTTCTCAATTTGTATTTCCATCACAATGTAATTGTATTAATGTGATCCTTTAATGTGACAATTAAATAAGAAGCAGCTAAATTTAATTACTAATTACATTTAATTGTCCATTAGGTTTCATCTGATTCAAAATCTAATCATCTGAATGGTAAATCAAATTATTTGTAATCAATGATTTAAATTTAGACTCTCATTGTAATATTAAATTTGATTGGGAAAATCTAATTAATTGTAATTTAATAAATCTGTAATTTTTAAAGTTAATTTGAATTTGAATTTATTTCATATGAAATGAAACCATTGAAAATCTTAATTGTTGTAAAGTTAATTAATGAATTGCTCAGTATTTAAGTAACTCTCATTGACAATTAAGTTAATTTTATAAATAGATCAACAAGTGATGTAAAGATAATCAACAAAATCAAGCTAATTGTTAACCATTTGACTTTATCTTTTATGTTAAAGTTAATTGTAATTCTAGTGAAATTTATTTATAAATATTTAGTCAATTCTGAGAAACAAATGATTTGTTAATTAAGTGAATCATCTCATCATTAACAAATTAACAGCTAATCAATTCAATTGTATCAAATGAACAGATAAATAAAATAAGAGACAATTAGCTGATTGTTGAGTTCTTATTAATTGTTAATATGAAATTAATAATGAGTAGGAGTTAATGATGATTAGTCTTATTACAAATTAGATGTTACTTTTATATCTGATTGTTGTTTGTTAATCAACTTAATGGTTAATTGAAGACTTCAAGAATCCAGTGTAATCCATTAGTGTGAATCTATTATTTCAGTTAATTTGATTGCGATCAACAAACAGGTAACAATTATCATCCACATGGCTTCAGACTGAGTGGATATTTTTATCACCCTGAAAGGATGAAGATGAAGATGAAGATGAAGATGAAGATAAGGATGAGGATGAGGATGAACAATAGTGTGAAAGTAGTTGGAGGCGGAGGTGGAAGTCCAAATATAAGAGTTCACTTATTTTCCACCCTTGTTATTATCCACCTTTGCCAATTTACCCCCTTGTGTATTATTATTGATTGGATTTGTTTTTCGCCACTAGAAACTTAATTGAGACAATATTTAATTGGTTAATAAAGTTAATTGTGGTTCTTATGGAGGAATAATAATCAAATATAAAGGGGATAAGGATTTAGCTAAATCGTTATTATTATTGAGAGTTTGACATTTTGATTGATAAAAAAAGTAACAATAAAGGAAACCAATAAGTTGTTGATTAATTTAGTCAAAAAACTCATGCTGTTATTAATTGTCGAAGTGTAATTTAGTAGTTAATTTAAATTGTTGTTGATTGTTTTTTCTTTTTCTAGTTTTTGGTTCATTTTTTTATTGTTGTTCATTTGCTCTCAGTGTTTTCACTTGTTCCCTCCAAATGATCCTCATCTTCATCACCACCTCTCTCTCTCTCTCTCTCATTTTCATCCAAAAAAAACTGAGCCTCATCATTTATCCTCCTCCCTCATCCTTGTTTCTCATTTCCTTCCCACCCTTCAAACCTCCCGACAAGCAAAGGAAATCCTTCAAAATGGTGTGATTTGGTGGGTAAAGATGATGAAGAGGGATGAAAAATGTGAGAGTAGACAGAGAGTGAGTGATAGAGGGAGATGGTGAAGATGAAGATGAAGATAGAAAGATACTAGAGAGAGAGAGAGAGAGAGAAAGAGTTTATCTCTCAGACTTCTAGCGAAAGGCAAACTGCCAAGGTAGACTCAATGGTCTGTTTCTCTGTCTATTTTACTTTCGTCTTCTTTTCCATCTTCATCATCTCACTCTCCTAATCTTCATCATCTTCATGAACATCCTCATCAATGAACAAATCTAACTAATCTTTTTTCTTTCTTTTTTGTCTCTGTTTTTTATCTTCACCCTCATCATCATCATCATCTCTCTCTCTCTCTCACTCTACAGGTTTTGCCCCCTTTCATGAAGCCCTTGGACTTGAATTAATTGTTTGTTGATTGTTTATGTCAACTGAAAAGTGAATTAAAATCAACTTTTCTTTTTGTCTAAATTAATTGTAAGGATTTAATTCACTTGCTGTGTAATAATCATCACCTTGTGTATACTTATCATCATCATCATCATCATCATGGTTATAAACGATTGAAGTTCAGCAAATTGTCACAACAACAATTAGTTAATCATAAATCTGTTGAAGAAAAACAAAAACTTTTTTCAAACTTTGAATTGTCATTTAAACTGATAACTTTTAATCATCTTAATTGTCACCGAATAACAATTTGAAATCATGTTCATTTCAACTCAAATTTTCCTCTTAATTGTAACCCTATTTGTAACTTTATCCATCATATCAGCAACATCTTCATCACCCACCGGGGACAATGATGTTACCACCAATGAATCAGATTCAGCTTTGGCCAACAAAAACGCTGATGTAAGTTAATCATCAACAATTAACTAATCATTTCTATAACAGAGAAACAAAAACTTTGACATTTTCCTTAACAAAAAATTGATCACCGAAATCAGAACTTAAGATTCACTGATTGTTAACTAATCAATAACAATCAGATTTCCAAGTGATTTTTTTTTTCTAATTGAGAAACAATCAATTTAATTGTAGAATTGAAACTAAATCAATTTTCCCTCCAGGATGTTTTTCGTCAAATGGTCTACAAAGCACCGGGTAGTATCTCGATGGGCCGTCTTGCAGGTCAATCTAATATGCGGGAAGAGGTTCAAAAGTTTCGTGAGTTTTTGCAAACCCGCCGCCCGCAGCCAAGTGATTGGGTGAAATTCAAACCACCCACCACCACCACCACAAGTACCACCACGGGCACAACCGCCCCACCCAATTTATCTGAATGTTTCATTGAAATTCAAGAGGTAAGTTGACCCTTCCAATAGACACTCAGCCAACCCACTCAACACCGCCGCCGATACCCCGAGGTTTAAATCATGTTAACAACATCGTTAATCAATAACAGTTAATTGTCACCCTGAAATAATCAACAAACTTTCATGATAATCTAATGGGTGAACTTGTTAACTGTTGCCAAAGAAAATCTTGTTAACCATGTTGATCACAATTAGTAAATTGTCATGTTTAACTTTTCAAGAGGTTCATCTTTTTGTACATACGATTGAACTGATGGTGGCGGTGGGTAAAAAACCCACTCTCTCTCTCTACTGTCTGTGTGTTGATGATTTAATCAGATCGTTTGCCAAGTTTTCTGTCAAACTAATCAACTAAATCAACTTACAATTCATTTAATTAACTAATCTTTTTACACTTTTTTTTCCTTCTGTATTTGTGAATCGTTTCCCTCTCGGTGGATTTTGTTTGTCTCGTGGTGGATTTTTTTCCCACTCTCATTACACTTTACTTACTGCTGGTTAATTTCTTACAATTTGATTAACTAATTAAGATCAGAAAGGTTCCTGGTAGATGCATTAAGCTTGGCGGTCGGATACCAGCTTGTCAATCAACTTCATCGGAAATGATTGATATTAATTATGTTAATTGTTAACAATTAACTTCATCACCTTTGATTCCTTAATTATTTTAATCATAATTTGTCAACTTGTCATTATCTCATCTTCATTAACTTTTAATTGTTTGTTTTTTTTTGTCATAATCACAATCCCTTTGATATTTTGCTTTCCTCGTTTAACGATTGATTAACTAATTAATCACAATTAAAATCTAATTTAAAGAGATAAATTTTCCGTTTCTCTTGATATTCATTGACAATAATCAGTTGATTATCTCATCTAATTGTTAACAATTAATTTATCGGGCGTTTTTCACAATTACTCTTCTCGTGTTCATCTCGTAATCAGTGTTAAGTTAATTGTTGAATTGTATCATTGATGATGTCTCGCCTTTACAAGTTAATTGTTGTTGTTGTTCAATTAAAATTACCAATTGTAATTAATCACAGAGAGTATGTTTGTTGATTAACAAATTTGAATTGATTTTTGTTTAAAAAAAGTGTTGAGATACAAATGATTCATATCAGAGGGAGTTGATCATAATGATGCAATTAAATTGTGATGATAAAAATCAGATTCAATTGTTGGTGTAAAAAATTAGTTTGTAAGTGATAATTGTTAATCATTTCCAAGCAAGAACCAATTATGGTTAAGGATGATAAAGATGATTCGTTGATTGTTGTGTTTGGTGATGATGATGATGATGTAAAACTAATTTGAAGGATATATAATAATTTACAGAGAGAGAGAGAGAAACAATTAACAATCAAAGTTATATTGGTAATTAAGATGGATAATTAAAAGTAAATTAAGCAGACAATAGATACACATTGAAACACCTTAATTGTTGATTAATTTATGAAAGTACTTCGAGTAGAAAAAGAAAGTAATTGATTAATTGTTGGTTGATTGTTCGTGTGTATAGACAATTTGATCCAAGATTTAGTTAATTGTGATGTGTATTAAAGGTGAAAAAATAAATCCAATTGTGATTTGATTTACATTTACGGATGGATTTAAGATTTAGGGTGAAGGTAATTCAAGTTGATTTTTGTGATAATCAGTAAAAAGTGCTAGTGATTAATTGATGATTTAATTGATTTGATCAATTGATTATTTAAAGCTCTTCATGTAATGGATCCTTTGTTCAGATGCATTGATTATCTGTTGATTAATTTAATTAATGATTCCCCCAAGAGGTTAGTCAGCAATTCAATTTGTGTTGCTGATTATTAATTGATTGTTCATGTTGACATTGGATACCAATCGACTGTTTCATTAGTTAAATCTAGTTCATGGAGGGGAATAAGTGCTTGACCCATGAAAAGGTTGCCAGAGACACGATCGTAGTCCCAAATGGACACTTGAAGGGTTCGAAGTAGAACTTGTTCCTTGGGGAAGGGATAGATTATCATCTCCATGAAGGTGGGGTGACTGTTACGATTTACCACTTTGGTTTTTCGTTTAGTTGATTTGGATGAATCGGGAAGAAGATAAGTTTTCACGTAAACATCGGGAGATGATGATCGAGGTGATTGAAGGTTCTTAGCGTGCATAACCATTATGATCAGTTCACCGTTACGATATTGAATGGACAGTTTGATTGAGGATGTTGTCGATGATGACATTGGTGAGGAGAGGGTCATCATTGAGGGTGGACACAAGTTGGATGATGTTTGGGATCCGGGTGAGAAGGCGGCGGCCGTTGATGTATATGCAGCGGCCGATAATGCCATTGATGGAAGTGATGATGAACTCGATGAACTTTGTCCCCAAATGGCTTCCTGGTCACGAAGAATCGGATGGAAAAAGGTGTAAACTATGTCACTGTGAGCGATTTCTTCTGTCATATGCATGAGAGACATTAAAAAGAAATCAATCTCAGGAGCGCGTTTTTCGGCCACTTCACGGGTGTTACTTCGGCCCATGAAACTTGACGATCTGTTTAATGGGTAAAGACGAACCAGGGGGAATAGTGAGGTCATTTTCTGATGGAGCTCGTAAAACTCTCGATAAGATCGGCAAACAAAAGTTGGATCTTTTTGATGCTCCCTTTCAACTCTAATCACATAAATGTAAACCTTTTCAGGTTCATACTTTTTGAAATAATTTTCAACTCGAAGGCCAATAATACGACCATCGGTCTCTTTGGTGTACTTTTTGGGAACAAAGGACAGAGTTGATGGATCATTATGGTCGCCCGTGAATCTTAATTGAGCCAAATTATGAAGGAAAAAGTTGAACTTGGTGGAGACTGAGGATAATGTTTCACCGATCATTTTGTTGAAAGCAGCGGTCGCTTCGGCTTCCGTTAAACTTGGTAAAAGAGTTCGATGAATGTACTTAACGGCATCGATTGAAAGTCCAGGTATTCCAGAGGAAACCATGAGTGAGAAAAGATTTAAAAATAGATTGGTATGACGGCGGATAATGTTAAAGGCCTGACAGCAAAGGTCAACAAAATATTGAAATTGTTTGGACGGTTTATCACCTCCGTTAATTACATAGGCCATGTCACTAGTCAAAATGAACGGAGTTCGATCTCGTTTGATTGAGCCAATCATTTGAGCATCACCAAGATATTTACCAAAGTCAATGTGAAACAAGTGACCCGATGTGGTTATCATAATATTATCATTATGCCGATCACCAATTCCAAGAACATAAGTGACCACCACGTAACCGGCCAGCGAGTAGGTGAAATTTTCAACTGATTTTCGGTACTCTAGTTCACTTGTATTGTGTTTTTGAAGCCACTCCGATATACAAGAATCTCTAAATGATCCGGTAATACCATATTCTGTTTGAATTTTCCGTAAAGTTTCAGCATTTTTAACAATCTCAACGAAACCCTTACGAAAATCTGTCGCAATACAACCAAAGGTTACAATTTTCAAATCGAGACCTTCTTTTAACCACAATTTGTCCATAATTTTAATCATTTGCATGGTAAATGAATCTTGTCGTAGATCATCACCAACCTTGTACATCGCGTCTATTTGGGTAAAAACGGAGCTTGATGGTTCACTTTTAAAGGCCAATTTAATGGGTAAAGTGTTGGAGGTGAAATAGAAACAAGATTTTATGTTCAAACCGACAACCTGCATACTCGGTGAGAGTGGTAGCGCTAATGGATGAGTCATTAAGAAATTATCGACTGGTTCTAGGTCTCTGGAGAGGGAAATCATTCGATGTGAGTCTTTAGTTGTTTTCAGATGATCAGTGGCAAGAGATAATTTCGAAAGAAGTGTTTCCTGGTTTTCGAAAAGATTTCGAAGAGCCTCACCACAGGTAAGTAGGAGAGCGTTTAAATAGATCCGTGATCGGTACGAAAAGATGGGATCATCGAGGTTCTGTTTGAGTAGCCAGTATAAATTGTGAGCGATACGGACACTTGAGTAAGCCTTTTCTAAAAGGAACCAAATCAACGCTGAATCAAAGTATGGTTCAAATCGAAGCGCTTGAATTAACTGGGGTAGATAATCACAGATTTCATCGTTTCTTAATCGTCCAATCCAAGTGACCGCCGATGAGCGGACATATTTATCCAAGAAAGGAGGTAATAAAAGTTGCATTGCATCAATGGCTGGAAGTGGATTCCATGTTTGAATCATGTGATAAATATCATTGAGATAAGACCATTTCCATGAGGGTGCTGCTTTTAGTACCTTTGGTAAAGCTGATGGAAGCTCATGTAAATAGTGACGACGATCCCAGATAATATTTTCATCAGAACGTGACATTTGTTGAACCGGATCCGAGTTAAGTATTACATGGATATCGGTTTGAGTTGCTGAATCAAGTAAATTAAGATCTTGTTTAATGTAAGTATTGATATTTGATTCTGGTTCAATTGATGGGAAACAAATGTCACAACCATGATCAGGCAAGTTAATTATAATTAATGGTGATCCTTTTTCAAGGTTAGATGTGTTAAAACAAGTTCGAGCCGTTTTATTGACAATATCTCCAGTCCACATGCCAAGAAGTATCGAACCTTGGACAAGATGTTGACGGAAATCAAGAAGCTTGAGAACTGAGAGTGCAACAAGTTTAGGTGTTTCTCTTTCACCGGTTGAAGAAATTATTGATTGATCAGTTATTGGAGTAGATGAATTTGAGAGTGGAGTTGATGCAGATGATGATGGAGGCTGATTGTTGGTAGATGATGATGATGATGATGAAGGAAATTCAATACCATACAAATTGAAATAAAGGTAAGACTCTCGAGGTAGGGAGGAAAGTAGAACTGATTGAAAATGTAACAATTCATTGAAAACCAGCCTCTGGAAAAGTCCTTGACTAACAGGTACACGTCCGGTTTTACAATTGGCAATTAAATTTTCACCGAACCAAATTTCACAGGATACATAGAATTCACGATATCTCATTTTCCAATCAAAATTGAGACAATTAACTGTTCCAACGTAAACCAATAAAGCTTCCGACATTGTTGATAATGAACATGATTGTTTAGGTTCATCATGAGATGATATTGTGCTTGTTGTTAATCCATCAGATGAAGATGATAATCTATTATTATTATCATTTGTTACACTATTTGTTAGGATTGATTCAATATCTAAATTATTTTCTGGTATCAATTCAAAATCAACTGGAAATGCACAACAATAAAGATCAATCATCTCTCTAATTGCTCGTTTTAATTTGACGATTGCATGATGGAAAACCTCTTTGTGAATTACTTCTAATTGTTCCTCTGATAGTTGATTGAGAATAATTTCACCTCGTTTCTTGTATTGATCATAGACTAGAGATAATTGTGATAAATTTTCAATGGCCTCTGTTACCTGGAGTATATCACAGTTACCCAATAGTGAGCAAAGTGCTTTGGTTGCTTGGATAACACCCTTGATTGTTTTAACCAAACTCTCGTGACTAGAATTAAAAACCAATTTACTAATTTCACCTTCTAGTGTTTCCAGCATAATGTTTACCGTATCTCGATTAATTTCACCAAATTTACATACACAATGTTGAGGTAAAAGATCATCAGGTGAAAGGTTAACAACAGTTTCATCATCTTCAACGGTTCGAGCGTAAATATTATGGCAAGTTTCATTGGTATTAATCAATGTTAACCTTACATCTTCATCAAACATGTGACAATGATGAATATAAGAATAATCTCCAAGGGTTGATCGATTGACCAGATATTCATTGAGAGAATTAACTTTTAAAACAAATTCATCGAAATTAACACCAACGGTATCCTCAAGAATTGAACAAACTGCATGACAGACAACATGTTCAACTGAAGTATTGACATTACAGGTAAACGATAAAGGTGATTCGGTTGATTTATGATAGATTTGTAGTTTAACACTAAGTGTATTATCCCTGCGATAATCTAATCCTGGACTTGCTACAAAACCACAATTGGTTAATTTATCAGTTGAGATGAATTTACTTCGAATTGTGTGAACTTTTAGTGCGAAAGAGGTCAATTCAGCATCTGCACGTGAAGGTCGGAATCGTACACGAAAATTGGCATCAGCGGGAATTGTATTATTACTGTTACGAGAGAGTCTGGAATTTGATTCATTGTCTGATGATAATTTAGATGATGAATTAATTGGTCCATGGTCACAGGTATTGATTGATGATGAATCAATTGAATCAACTCTCATTGGTGCTGGAGGTGGAATCGTTTCTCGAGGTGTTGTTGCTGATGAAGAAGATGTTGACGAGGTTGATGAGGTTGAACAAGATTCATCGGTTGTCATTTCCTTATTGTTGATTGATTTTTCATCGGCTCCTGATTGTTTCCTATTATTATCAGTTGTACCTTGACAACCACCGATAGCACATTCATCTGTTATGTTCATTAAGGGATCGAAAAGGTTTAACAAATCTTCTAGATCATCTTGTTGATTAACCGAATAATTTGGTCCAAGATCAATTAGATTCTCATTTGGTAATTTCTCTAATTCACCAAGTTTACGAATTTTTTCCAACATCTCCCGAACCGTTTCATTATTTACTTGTGATGTAACTGATGAATAAAAGTAAGATAAATTTTGAACTGAATTTGATGCAAATGAATGAGCAGGATGAGTGATTGCTGATTGTTGTATTTGTTGATAGACATTAGTATTGTTTGATGTTGATGATGATTGTTGTTGTTGTTTTTGTTGTAATTGGATATTGTTGGAGTCTCTTTTAAATGGATCAAAATAAGGGAATGAATTACTATGAGACAAAGCCGCAGGTCTATTGGTACCGCTATTAACGGGTAACCAATTTGATTTACCAGGATGTGGTTTCTGAGGTGAAACAATGGCATAAGTTGATGTTGATGTAAATGGTGTAAAATTGTTGGCAAAAGAGGGTGAAGATGATGCAGATGAAGATGACTGATTGGTATTATTATTACTATTTAAACAAAGGGTATTCGGAGCATTAGGTCTAAATGGTAAATCATTGAATGGTTGATATGATCGTATTGGTGCTTGATGTTGTTGTGATTGTATTGACCCACTTCGATTGATGATACCATAATCGGGAGTAGATTTTACTTGGGATGGATTACCGTTAACTTCATTACTTGTAAGTCTTGATGAGGCCACAGTAGTAGTAACATTATTATTATTATTATTATTGTTGTTGTTGTTGTTGTTGATATTATTATTATTGTTAACGGTATTGTTAATGTTGTTTTCATTTACTGTTGGTGTTTCAGCTATACTACTATAAATATAACTGGTAAAGGTGGATGTTGTTGTTGTGGTGTTTTTACACCCTTCATTTTTATGGCTTGTTGATGGCGGTGGAGTTAATTTAGTAAATTCAATTGTTGGACCATTATTGTTTACTTGTTGTTGTGATTGTGATTGTAATGCTCGCCGGGGTAAGGGCACTTTCATCTTCAGCTCATTGATCACAGTTGGTTTACGAGGTGGTGGACGGATGAATAATCTTGGTGGGAGAGCTGGTTTGGTTTCACTTGAATCTGTAATAAACAAAGACATGATTTAGTTGTAATTATATAAGTTTTTTAAAAACAAAATTGACTTGATAAGAAGAAATCAAATTAAAGTAAAATTGATGATTAAGATGATAAGCAACAAAAATTAGTTTATACTACTGATGGGTAACAGTAATACTAATAGCAACAGCAGCCTAATCATCATCATGATCACTGATCATCACCAGTAAAGAGGAGGAGGAGTGTGATAGAGAGAGAGAGGCAAATATATTATTGTAAATACATAGAAAAATAATGATGAAGAATAGAGAGAGAGAGAGAAGGAAGAAGATAAAGATGAGAGAGAGCAAAAAATTGTCTCTCCTCTCATTTTTTCATGGACAGATAGATGAACATACTAGTGTTGTTAAAGAGATGATGGTTGTTTAAGTTGTCAAAAATAACCATGAAACAAAGAGGGGAGAGAGAAATGATGATGATGAGAGAGAGAGAGAGAAGAGAGTAAGTAGGAAGAGGAAGAAGAGATGAAAATGAAGTCAGAGAGTGAAAGAACTTTGGTTAACATTAATTCTGAGGTTCACAGCACAGTAAGAAAAAAGTAGCTTCCAAATTCAGGGGAAGATGATATTCCACTTTTATGGTCAGAATAATGGAGGATATTAAAAGAGAATAGAATAGAAATCATAACTTCTTCTTCTTCTTCTGTAGGTAAATGAGTTAAAATTGAAGAGAAAAAATAATAATGAGAAATCAATAAAAATGAACAGCAAAATTTGTTCTATTAAATAGAAAAGATATAACATCAACTTGAGAATAGAAAAGGTAAGAGAGAGAGAGAGAAAGAGAAAATCGACAACTTGAAGATAATTTGATTCTTTTTCTAATCAAGAGACTGTTATTGTTGTTAGATAATTGTGATTGAATAATCAGGATGAAAGAAAATAGAAAACTAACTAAAAAACATAATTGAAATCAGGAGGTGGAGAGGATTGATTAAGACGATGAAAAATCAGAGCATAAAATAGGTTAAGATGATTAAGATTGTCTAATGATTAAACTGTCCAGATAAATATTCAATTCTATGAATAGAATCAATCATGTTGGTGAACATCAATTGAAATTATTAATAATTGAGTTGAGAAGTGACCATTGAATATGATTGAAAAGAGAGAGAGAGAGAGAGAGCAAAGAAATTGACTTGGAATTGTCAATTCGGTCAATGGTATTGTCACTCATTCGCTGATTGTGATTACAATCAAAACGTTGGTTGATTAAGAAGAATAGACCAGAAAATTGAGATTGTAATTTCAGAAGCAGAAATTATAACAATCATAATGGTGATGGTGGTAAAAAAAGTATGACATGTTGAGTGAGAGAGAGAGAGAGTTGGTTGATCATGATTCAACAAAAATCACGGTCAACTTAATAGTTGTAGATTCACAATGATGATGATGATCAAGATGATAATAAAATCAACACACAAACACTAACCTCGGGTAAATTGTTCATTCATCTTGGATGAGAGAGAAAATGATTTTCTTTCTTCTCTGATTATTTCGATGAGTTAATAGATGATGCGATCTCTCGTTTTGATGATGTTCCTCTGATTTGTTCACAATTTGATGATGTTGATTGTTGATTATTGAATTAAACAGGCTCTTGATTAAGAGGGGCGTATGATTACATTAGAGAGGGTGGAAAAAGAAGCAAATTAACGAAAGGAAAGGAAGAGAGAGAGAGAGAGAGAGAGAGAGAGAGAGAGAGAGAGAGAGACACTGTACAGTTGATTGTAAATAGAAAAAGGAAATCAACAATACGATTAAATAGAAAATATATAAATTGATAAAATGATAAAAACAATGATTCTATTGATGAGGATGATAGTTTGTTGATATTTGTTGTTAATTCTTGGAAATGTGTCTTGTTGTTGTTGTTGTTGAATATAAATTTGAATAGATTGATGATTTTGTTTGATCTCTCTCACCAATTAGAAGTATAAATTGAGCATTAAAGAGGTTAACAATTAGGTTGATCATTGTTCTCCTTTTGTTATTGGATACACTTTAAAATCAATTCTACCATTGCGATTGAATCTTTTGCTTTCTTGTTGTTGACAAAATTCAAAAGGCACCAGATCAATATAATTATTATTCATCTTGGTCTTTAATTAACTTGTTCCATTGATAAAATTGTCACCAAAAATCCTAGAGACAGAGGAGGTGGAAATAAAAATAGAAAAGTGAACAAAAAATTGATCAAAATAAAAACGTTAATTATCAGTAAGTTAATGTGGTTAAAATAAACAATCACAGATTAAAAGCACAATATAAATTATCATTTACTGAGAGAGACTAATGGTAACTGTTGATGATGATGATGTTTGTTATTGTTTCTTGTTGATAGGGTTACTAATAAGTGTTGAGGACACAAGGAAATTGATTCAGTTTTTTGATTGTTACTGAATCACTGATCATTTAGTAATCAATATTCACAGTAATTAAGATTAATTAGACTATTTGATAAAAGAATTTACAGAAATTCGGAAAAAAACAGGCACATCAAATGCTACTTACAAATAGAAAACAAGATTTAGAGCCTAATGCAGAATATCAGCTTAATCTCTTTCTCTCTCTCCTCCTTGTTTCTTTTTTTCTCTCTCTCTCTCTCTTTCTATCTTCCCTCCTCTCTTTCTTTATCTTCTCTTTTTTCTGCTCTCTTTCTCTCTTTCCTCCTTCAATATCATCATCATTCGGTTGTTTACAATAATCTTTTCCTTACCTTTTTCTCTTCCAACAGTTTTGGGTCCTTGGTGTTGGTGGTAAATACAAAATAGAAAAACAGGAAAACAAAATATTCCAAACCCACGATTTTCTGGTTTCCTATGGAAATGGAAAAACAACAATTTAGATGATCAAACAACTAAGTGTTTATCTAATTAACTTACAGTTAATGATTTAACAATTAAATCAAACAATTGGCTCTTTCTTTTTACAGCAACAAAAAGAGTTAATTTTTTGCTTTCATTTCTTTAATGTTGTTGTGACTAAGAATTGACACTTTTTGTTGAGAGAAGAAAAAAAAATCAGTTTCAGAAAAGAAAACAATTCAAATTGTAATTACTCTTGTTAATCGTTGAATTATTTTTATCTCTTTACCATGAACACAATTAATTGGAATCAAATTTAACGATTAAAAAAGGGTAACAAAAATGATAACATTAAAAAGAGAAATTAACTTAACAAATGAAAGAAGAAAATTGAACCAATTCTTCTCTGTCTAATTCTCTGTCTATTGTTCCACAAAGAGAACATGTGATTAATTGTTTTCTTTTTCATCTTTTTGATCTTTTTTCAGTTTTTTTTTCTGGAAAAAAAGCTTAACCTTAACCAGTGAATTTCTTTTTTAATTTAAACAACATTTTCATCAACAATTAATTTCCTTTTATAATTGTTGTTGATTAAAATCTTTTAATTCTACAGTTTATGATTCGTAATTAACGGTAGATTAATCAACTAATTCTGTCTCGGAGTAATTGGAAATTACCACAAGGTGAATTCAACTCAATCTCTTCATTCATCTTCTTTTATCTCAACCAGTGTTCATTTCTTAATTGTTGTTGATTAATTTCCTCTTGTTTTTATTAGAATTGGTTTTCTATTGACAATCTACTGATTAGGTTTACAATTGCTTTGCTTAATTGTCGTGGTTAAATTTAGTGGGTAAGTTTATCTTTAACTTGTATATTTAAATTGTAATTGGGTTTCTCTCTCTCTCTCTAATTTTTGTCTATATATTGTTACAGGTTCATTAGAATCTCAATTTATCTAATTGAATAATGAAGGTGTTAATCAACTGATGATAATTAAAACATTTATCTCTCATTATCCATATTCAACTGGTGAATGGATTTCAAGAAAATACAATCAACATGGTGTTAATGTCATTATCATCTTATCTTTTTGGTCTCCCCTTAAATCTTGTTAATCATGGATCAGTGATTTACTATTTCTCATGCAAATCAAGGTGATTACGGAAGTGAATCTGGTGTTTTAATCCAAGTATACATGTAGAAAAAAGGTCAAACAATAGAGTTAGAGAGGAGAAAAAAGGAAAAAAAGAGAAAACGTTATGCTGATTGAATTGGAAGTAAAAAAATGATATTAATTTAAAGGTGAAAAGCCAAGGATCAACAGCCTTTCGGTTTTGGATTGACGATTAAAGTAGATTAATTCACAATCAAGGTCCAAAATGGTTCCACTACTGCGAAAGATCAACTAAATCAATCAACAATCAAGACCTTTTATTTTCTTCCTCCCTCTCCTGAAATTAACTGTTACCATGTTTACCATGTCAACGATAATCAAAGTGATTGACTTTCTCTTTGATTACCAAGAGATATTAGGTAACAATTAATTCCTTTACTGGTGTTAATTGCTATTTCCATTATTATCATGACAATGACAATGGAAAATTTAATAAGTGATTAGGTTTATAATGAAAATACAAACCTAATTGTGATTGTTTGTGAGTCTTTGTTAGGTTAACAATTTGTTAGCGTAACCAATAAACCAGCTGAATTAATTGGATAACAATTAACCAGGTAAGTTATAATTTATATATCTAACTGTTAATTTGAACATTTAATTAAGTTAATTTTTTTCTTCTTCATTTATATCATGACAAATGTAATTTAGAAAGACTGATTTATCAACTTGACTAATCATCAGTGACATTGGTTAAAATACAACATACAATTTGGTGGATTATTTATTTTTCATTCAACAATTAACAATTTAACAATAATTTAAGCTGATTAAATGAGCCAATGGGTAACAATCAATCAAGGAAAAAAAACTGGATCAATTCTTAATTGTTATTTGTATTCTAATGAACTAAATCATCGCCATAATCATTTTTTGATTTAATCACTTGAATTTGATTTAAGAGCAATTAACACTTTGCACTTTTCGTTGATAATTGTCATCGCAATTATCTAATCATTCCAAGGGTAACCCTTTAATTGATCCACATAATTAACCATCAAATGTCACTCACAATGTAAACAATCAATTTCCTTTTTCTTTTTGTTGATTACTTAATTGTTGAGAAGAACAGTTTTCACTTCTAAATTAAGAAACACAATTAATCAACAATTTTCCCTTTAAAACGATTACCAATATGATCAGTAACAAAAAAACGAATCAAACAATTAAGAAATTAGAATTAGTTTCTTAAAGTTGATACAATTGGATTTTCTGATTCACGTCAATCAAAATTAATTGTAATTAATGATCTAAATATAAAACTTTTCCAATCGTAATCAACTTAAAAAGGTAACAATTGAAAAATATTGACTTTTAATCAACAATTAGAATACAAATTGAAACAAAACAATTTAACGCAACTTAGTTAACAGTAGTTAAGTTAATTGCGGAAATATAATCTATCATTGCCATTAACCAATTACCAATCTAATTTAATTTTTCAGTCCCAATAATTAGATTAAATAATTGGATTTAAAAGGAGATCAAGAAAAAAATTTAAAACAATCAACAATTAAATCAGCTTACGATTGTCACGATAATTAATCACAGATATTGTTGATTTAATTGTTGGAAAAATTTTCTCTACCTTTTTTGAATTACAATCAGTTAATTGTAACCAATTGGTTACCTTGATTGTTTATATTTTTTTTCATACTTTTCATTCAATGTGACAATTAATTAACTAAATTGTATCAGTTTAAATAACAATTTCAATCTGATTGCAAAAAAAAAGAAAAACAAATTAGTTGATTGTTGGTAATTGAAAAATTGAAACAACAGAATTAATTTAAAGTAACAATTAAGGATAAATTTTGAATGGAATCGCTAATTTAGTAAATTAACTGATACTCATTGTGAGATTGTGTTAGTTTGCTTGTTGTTACAATTTCAACAATTAGTTGATATTAGTTACACATTTGAAAAAGAGAATCGGTTAATTGTGATGGTTAATTAAAATTCGTTACAATTGGAGAGAAAAAAATTAAATTTTTCTAGTTGATTGTTGTTGTTTTCGTTATTTTATAAGTCATAAATATTTATATTGATATGATTTGATTGCAACAATTTGTGATTTGATTACGATTTGACTTGTGATCACAGTTAGAAATGTGAAATGTTTGAAAGGAAAAACAAGAAATTAAAGATGCAAAGGAATCAAATTCCCTTGATTACTTTGAAAATAAAGTAATTTGATTGACAAGGAATACAAATTGTAACGTTGATTGTTGATTGAGTAGATGATGATGATGATGAGCAAAAGTTGTTGATGGAAGAAGACGAAGAGAAAAAAGTCGAAATTTGGATTAATCAAGGCACCCAGAGAACAATTAAAAATATGAATTACAATTTATGATAATAGAATCAAGGGTAGAGACAGAAAAATTAAATCGTTCAACGAGTAATTAATCTGTTTTTGTTTGTTTAGGAATCAAAATGAAATTAGACCAGAATAAGATATTTCTAAGGTAATAACTCATCGAATTGATGATTAGGTGAAAGAGGCTGAGGAACAAAATCAATAAGCACTAAAAGTATTCCAAAAAGGACTATTGATATATGTTCGAAGAGGAAAATAAGAAAAATCTCGACAGTTAATCGAACCAGAATTCCCAAGTATAAAGCGAATAAGAGAATGATTAAGAAAACGAATAGGATGCTTGTTAAATCTTCTTCTCTCTCTGATTCGTCCCGTTGTTCCCGTTGTCTGGCGAGTTCAGTGTGTCTTAGCCTCGACCTGATTCTAAATCGAGCTATTGAAAAATCGAACGAAAAGAAGAGTAAAATTAGAATAGAAAATGAAATAAATAGTTTAACCTTCAATGATATTAATAGATGAGAGGAAAGGGTGAAAAAAAAGATGAAGGTGATTAAGATTTTCTTCCTCTTCATCATCTTCTTCTTTTTCTCTAGACGAAAAAACTAACCTGGAGGTGTGGGTGGACGTTCTGATTGATTAACTCGTGGTTGATTAACTCGATTTAACCATGAAGCTAATGATGGAAATTTTAAATGATTGGCAAATTTGGTTAAATTAATCAACATTTGGCTAACCACTGGTTTAGGACTAAACGGGCAACTTGATACGTGTTCAACTAAATCCTCTAATTTAACTATTGCCTGACAACCTTTTTCCTTATAGTCACAGGAGATCATCAATCGACCCAAAATATTTATAACAAAAATTGGTGGCTTGGTAAGTCCAGCATAAAGGTCAATTACCAATTTGTCAAGGGGACAGGTTTGATGTCGAGCCAACCATTCAGATATACATTCTCGGCAATAAGTATGACGACATTTTGTAGTAACTGGATCTTTAAAAACACTCATACATATTGGACAGGTAATGTCTTCAGCAAGAAAACCTAAATCAGAAAATCTTTTAACATCATAACCCATAACGATGACAAAAGGAACCCCAATATCAATGAAATATACAAATTGGATACGAACAAAAAAAAACAAACTGGTCTCAAAACCAAACCAACGAAATCGTCAACAGACCCTAGAATAGAATCAAACCAAATCCAAGCACAGAAAAGGACAAGAAAACACAAAACCATTAAAAATATAAAGGAAAAGAATAAGAAAAATAGAAAACAAGAAAAAAAAAGCCATTAATAAATGAAATTTAGAATAGAAAAAAAATTAAATTCTTCAATTAGAATTACCATAAACATCTTACCTCTTCCTCTTTATTGTTCCAAATCTTTTTCCAATGTGATAAACAAAACACCAAAGGAGCTAAAACTGATTAACCAGATCCTTAATGATCCATGGAGAAAGTAAATCAATCGAAATAAATAATAATTAACACAAGTGATTAAGTTAATTAGTTAACCCAGAAAAAAGGTTAAGGAAAACTCATCGTCTCAAAAAGGTAAACAACTTAAATCTAACGTCCGATTTTCTGCGAATTGGTGGGCCATCTAGTGGACCAAAATTCAACTAAAAGAAGTCGACGAAAAAAAAGAAACGAATTTTTTTTAATTCCAATTAAGTTTAATGATTGATTGTTTTCGTTTTGTTTTCGTTTTGTTTTTACAATTTAACAATATTCATTGATTGAATATCGACTGTAATGGAAAACAGGACCAGCCATAGTTTATTAATAATAATATTATTTTCGTTGAAACAAAGAAAAAGGGAAAAAGTTAAAACTTGTTAACTTTTTTCTTTTCTATTTTTCTTATATCGCCATTTTTGTTTCTTTTACTTTTCCTCTTGTTAATTATTTTGTATTCATTTGAAAATTATCTTGGAATTTTCAATGAAACAAAATCTAGAAAAAAAGAGGAAAAAAAGTTAAATCATTTTGTGTGATTTAAAAATTGTTACAAGTAAATAGTAGTTGATTACAGTTGATTTCATTTGTTTGTGTTGTTTGTATGTTGATTTCGTTGTAAATTAATTTAAGGTGTTGATGATTAAGGCACTTGGTTATAAGCAAAATTGGTTATGTTTTCGTTTTTTTTGTTCGTTATTGATTTTTTTTGTTCTTTTTTCTTTTCTTTTCTTGTTATATCCAAACGTCCTTCGTAGCTACATTGGCATTTGTGAGGAAAGCTTCTAAATCGGACAGAACTATATCGGTGTTAATGTTCAATTCATCGGGTAAACATATCAGGTCCATAGCATCGGTTTCAAGTTCCATATTGGTTATGGAAAGACTGTCCAAACAAAGGTCATCAGCGTTATTTTGTAAGTTATTAACTGTTTCCAGATCGGAGACAAGAATATCATCAGGTGTATGGGGAAGACTAAAATTATGACCCAGACCAAGACCTGAATCGGCACTTTCTTGACGTGAATGGTCAACGGTGATGGCATTACTTCCGCCCAGAAAAGGGTCAATACTTGTTGTGAAATTTTTCTGCTGATTTTGAATTTCAGCAGCTCGTTGTCTCAATTTTTCTCTTTCTTCGGTTAACTCTTGAACTCTTCGTAAAGCTTGAGCTTGAGCTTGGGTATGAGCAATTTGTTGCTGTTGTTGTTGTTGTTGTTGAAGCTGCTGTTGTATTTGTTGCTGTGCTTGTTGTAATTGTTGCTGTTGAAGTTGCTGTTGTTGTAACTGTTTTTGTATAAGTTGTTGTTGTTGTTGAAGTTGCTGCTGTAATTGTGTAACTTGTGGTTGTTGTGGTTGTGGTTGCTGCTGCTGTTGTGGCGGTTGTTGTTGTTGTGGCTGTGACTGTTGTTGAGTTTGTGGTTGTTGTGGTGAAGTTTGTGGCTGTGGTTGTGGTTGCTGAGTTTGTTGCTGTTGTTGTTGTTGCTGTTGTTGCTGTTGCTGCTGCTGTTGTGGCGGTTGTTGTTGTTGTGGCTGTGACTGTTGTTGAGTTTGTGGTTGTTGTGGTGGTGGTTGCTGCTGAATTTGTTGAGGTTGTGGTTGTTGCTGTTGCTGTTGTTGCTGTTGCTGTTGCTGTTGCTGTTGTTGTTGCTGTTGCTGCTGCTGTTGCTGCGCGTGTTGCTGTTGTAGCTGTACTTGAAGAGCAAGTGCCTCGTTACGTTCTCGAAAAACAGCTAATCTAGGATCTTCCCAAGTAGTGGTTCTAGTATTGTGATTGATGAAATAGGGTTTACCGGTTTTAGCGTCAACTGCCACCTCCCATCCCTCTGGTAGTTTATCAAAATCATATCCACGGGGCTGTGGAGCTACAGAAAAGGTTGCTTGAAGAGTAGCAGGTGAAGAGTGAGCCCTAAAATGGCTAATGGTAAGTCCAGCGGGACGAGGATTGGTACACAAAGTAGTTGTAGTTGTTGTTGTAATTGCTGCTGATTCCACATTTGTTGAATCCAAACTTGACTCACGAGAATGTGATGCCGATTTCGATCCTTTCTCTGGAGGTGTGAAAAATGATGCAGGTAAGTTACGTTGGCGCATTGGTTTACTTAAAGGAATCTGACCATCTTTAGGACCTATGGCAGCCCTAAATAATTCCTCTAAATTATGATTGGCATCCTCATCCAACCTAACAAAATGATTGGAATTAGATTTAAGATTTCCTGCCATTAAAGGAGGGGAAAAGGGAAAAGAATACACAAATAGATATATAAAAAAATATATTCTTTTTCAACTCTAAATAAATATAAATATATATATTCTTCAGCCCAACAACGAATAAGTATACAAATATATATATATAAATACTAAATATATATTAAATTAGATTAGTTGAGAACATAAATAATAATAAATAACACAGAGAGAGAGAGAGAGAGAGAGAGAAAGAAACAAAAAAAAAGAGAGAATTAGAAAGAGAAAAAAAAAGAAAGAAAAGAAAAATTGAAAAGAGAAAAAAATTGATGATGATGTCGATGAATTTTCTCTGAAGATGGTGATGATAAATACGATAAAAAGAACAAAGGTAAAATAGAAATTAACACAAGTGTAAGAAATAAATAGAATACGAATTAAAAGAGAAGAAAAAATAAAATTAAATTGATTAAAATGAAAACTAATTAAATTAAAAGTAAAATAATTTTAGACAAAATGTTTGAAGGGCAACAAGAATCAAGATCTCGTTTCTTGTTCTCAATTTTGTTCGAAACGCTACCTGGTGACAAGAATTTCAATTTCCACCTGTAGACAGAAAATTCAACAACATGTTGATCATCATCTTCTTTTTTCATCCTCTTTCTTTTTCTCTCTTCTCTCTATTTCTTTTTCTCTTCTCTTTCTTTTCATCTTTTACCTTTGCAACAACTTCATCTTTATCATCATCTTCGACATCAACAACAACCTAACCACTACTACAACATCATTTTTTTTTCTTCTTCTTCCCTTGTTGGTCCCTATGAAAGGTATGCAGAGAACCAGGCAACATTTTCTCTTTCTTTTATTTCTTTCTTTATTTACCTCCATTTTTTTTCTTCTTCTTCTTGATCATCATCTTCATCTTCATCTTCTTATTCTTGTTCTGGTGAGATAGCCTTTCTGGTTGGATTATGGATTTTTCTCAAGTCAACCCTCATCTCTCTCTCTCTCTCTCTTTTTATTTCTCCATCCTCATCTTTACCTCATCTTCATCTTTATTTATTTTTCTTTATTTCTCTTTCTTTTCAGTCTTTCTCTCTTTTTTAGCTTATTCTCTATCTCTCTCACTCTCTCATGACAAATGGATGAAATGCATGATTATGTTTGGTGTGAACATTTTAGCGAAGATGAAAGAAAAGACGTATAATTGAAAATTCCAAATAACTGGACACTCAATTGGAGAAATGGAATTTGTTGATTAAAAGAATAGAAAACAATAAGGTATAACCATTGTCTCTTTTTTGGCTTTTTTTTCAGTAATTCTTTTCTCTTTCCTGACAAAATTTCATCATTTAGGAAACTAAATACTTTGGATGGTTGTCACCCTCTAATTAATCACCCACAACCTCATCTTCTTTTCGGCCATCGCCATCATCATCATCATCATCATCTATTGTTAATTGTTCTCGCTCAGCAAACCCAACAAGATAAAAACCATAGAGAAGAAGATGATTGAATATCAATTACGTTGTTCGTTTGAAAGAAAGAGTCACAATTTCACTTCCGATTGGTAAATGACCACTTCCAATTTAAAGTCCGGTCTCTCTCTCTCTCTCTCTCACTAATCAATTGGCTTGTTCTCCATCATCATATTCAGTGTATTTCTTGTTGTAAAGAAGAAAACATCATCCGTTTTGTATACATTTTCTACCACCAAATTTTAAAGGCCAATTATCAAGACTTCCGGTTATTAATTTTCCTTAAAGATCAAGAAACTGCTCATCCTGATCCTCATCATCATCATCATCATCAATGATCTTATCTTCATATTTATAACTCTTTAAATACTAACAACAATTAATAACATCTTGGTTAAGAGAGAGAGAGAGAGAGAGAGATCACCAGAACGAAACTAACAACAAGAAAAGTATAACGATTTATTTTTCTTCTTATTCAATGGTCATAATTAACACTAAAATAGTGATAATTTATTATCTTAATCACTAAAAAATTAACATTCATTTTGTTTTCTTTGCTAATCCATGTTTCCTATTTTCCATCAATTAATCAGTTAATTTGAACCAAGAAAAAAACAACAAAAACAACATCAACAAATCAAATTGAATTTGTTTTCTTCTTAGATTAACCTTAACCTGATTAACCCAAAATTTTGCATGAATCAAACACCACAAGTTTGTATTGTAATTAAGTTATTATTTTGAATTAATCAATTTTCGAATTATTATTTTTGTTTTTCTTCTCAAATTCATCAAATTAGCTGATTGTTGCAGCAAATTGTTGTAATTTGTTTTCCTGAAATTAACTTTAATCATATTCATACTTCAGCAAACAGATTGACCATTAATCTAGATTAATGGTCAATCAGGATAAATAAACCATTTATCCTGGTTTGTTGGTCCACAATCAATTAAATTTAATTGTAAACAAGAAAAACACAAATTACCAAAAAGTATCAGAATCAATAAGAATCATACTAATCTAAAGACAATCAGCAACAATTAAACGTCAACGATTTTCCCAAAAGGAAAAATTATTAACCAAAAAATCAACAATACTAATCACAATTAAATCTCTTTTCTTTTCTATAGACAATCAAACTATTCACCAATTTGATTCCCTTGATTTGCTCAATATCAACAATTAACTTGATTTTCATCTTTCTCTCTGGTCAATTGGTGTTTCATTTTTCAAGATCCACGAGTTTAACTTTTTCCCTGCACGCAAACAATTTGATTCTGTTAATTGTTGCAAGTAAATTAAGTTTACAGGACAATTAAAAAGTTCGCAAGGAAACAAAATGAACAATTTTGATGGTCATGTGATTAGAAAAATGACCTTCGACAACTTCGAGAATTACAAAATCGACCGATACAAAACTGGTCTTAAGCTCATCATCTTAATCGTCGTCATCATTATCATTATCATAGTCTCACTCTCACTTTCTCTCTCACTCGTCTTGATTTCAACAATTCCAACGATATTTTATATAAACAGTTGAGCAACTTGAATACCAACAATTAGTTAATTTTCTTGTATTTAGTTAATTGTTTCTCTTCATCATGAGTCCAAAGAGACTTTATAACGAAGCACCAAAGTATTTGGTTCCTCCGGATGATGAAAATTTGATTAACTGTATCAACAAAGTTCGTGAACAATTGGATCAACATTTCACCTCATTGGAACCTGATTTACCTTATTTAATTAACGATATTAATAAATTGCGAACCTGTGATTTTGAGGTTCGCAGATATTTGTTTCAAACTAATTTAGATGTTAATCAAGCTGTCGAAATGATTAAGGATCGATTAACATGGAGAAAGGAAATGTCATTAGATACTTTGAGATATCAAAAGTTTCCAATTGAATTTTATCAATCAGGAGGAATATTTGAATTTAAGGTAAGATAATCAATTCAATTAATTAGAAACAATCAACTAATTATCCAACAATTAACCAACGATTAACTTTTCAAATCCCAATGTAAACAACGTTCAAATTACAATCAACAAATTAAAGGTATTAATAGATTTTTCAATAAGATAAATACCAAGTTGTAAACAATTAACTTTCTATCAATTTATTATAACTAATTTATCAACAATCTAATCAACTAATTTACTAATTTAATCAATAATCAATAATGAGTAAACATATTGGCCAAAATTAAACGATATTTTCTTGATAATATTTCAATTACGATTTTACATATTGATTTTAATTGTAATCAGATATTTGTAATCACAAAGTTTTGCTTATTTCCTCAATCAAAGTTAATTGTATAGTTAATTGTTATCATTAAGAAAAATTAATGAAAAAGTTGATAATCATTTAGGTAAAAAAAAGACATTGAAAACCTTTGAGAGGAAAACAAGTTACTTAAGGTAATATACTTGCGGCCTTCAAGGGTCAAGTCAAAGTGTATAATTAATTTAATTATGATGAAACAAATCATTTTACAACTTAAATTAACTATGCCTCAATCAATCAACTAGATTTAATGATTAACTAACATTAAAATGATAATAATAATGAAGAATAAGAGAGAAAGAAAGAGAATCTTAAATTTTCCATTATTCTGATATAATGATTTCTTTCAATGTGATATTATCAACATAGAGTAACAAGTTATTGATGTACCTTGACCTGAGATGATGATGAAGATGAGAAAGTCTCCTCTGTATTTTTGTTGGAGAGATGATGATGATGATGATGGAGAAAATATCAAAAGCTGTATTTACCTTGAAAACATATAAATACATTTGTTGTAACCTTTTTGTGTTGATGTTGTTGACCTAAAGGTTAAACAGGACTCGATAAGTGAAAGGGCCAAACAAGAAACGGTTGCAAGGACCTTTTACTTTTCTTGTGTTGTTGTTGTTTCTTTTCATCTTCTCCATCATCATCATCACAATCATCATCATCTTTTCTTACCTTTCTCTCTCTCTCTTTTCTTTCCTTTGTTGATGGTGATCTCTGGGTTAGAAGGCCAACTTTAGGTCCATTTTGAATTCACGGGTAAATGATTTTTGGCAGATCCAATGATTTATGACCCTTTGCTTTTCTCGATATTATTTTCCCTCTCTTTTTGTTATAAATTAACAACAAAGGCCTTTGATTGCAATTGGTTATTTTCTAGTTAACAACAAATCACAGTATTTAATGGACAATAAAGTGATCACAATTAACTCTTAATTTGATTAGAAACGCGAGCAAAACAAAGATTCAATCGGAGAAAAGTTTCTCGACTTTAATCCGATCGAGTGTTTGAGATAAAATGTTGTTTGTTAATTGTGATCATTACATATGATCAACAATTAGTTGTATTCTTTTCATTTAATTGTATCAAATAATCTATTATTATTAATTGTTCAATCAATTGTCACAATGATTATGATGATCAAAGCAATTTCTTGCATATTACAGTTTCTCTCGGTTAATTGTAACTCTTTGATTGCCTTAAGGCAATCAAAGGGATTTAAATTGTTTTGTAAATAAACAATTTTCTCGCAAATATTATAACAACAACAATCTAATAAAATAAATATTATTAAAAGTAACAATTAACTAACCATGAAAATCTGAAGCTTGGGTATTTCCCAGAACCGATAATCTTAATTCATAATATTTTGTTGTATCGTTTATAATTTAACTCAATTACCATTAATTATAAAATCACTAATCAAATGTTAATCAAATTAACTCAAGGTAAACTTTACTTTCTATTAGCTGATCATTTTCATCATCATTATATGATTAAACTAATCACACCATTGAGTTGCTGCTAATTCATTGTTTCCTATTATTAACTAACTAATTAATCAAAAATCATTGATAAACATTATTAACTAATTTTATCTTCATCATCGTTATCATCATTTACGAGGCCATTAATGATCATCATTATACAATATATATTTATTTATTTATTTATCTGTTTAATTGTTGATTAACTAAACAACAAATCATTCATGACTGATCAATGATTATAATCATTAATGAACAAAAAAGCTCAATTAACAATTAAGCAACAAGAATCAACCATTAACCATTTTGGTTAGGAAATTTATTTCGTTTTAACTTTTTTTTTTTTTACTCAATCAACTTTAATTCTGATTAGTTGATCATCATTTTAATCATTATGGTTACAATCATGATTATAAGTTGAAGTTGCACTTACCAATTTTAATTGTTTATCTATTAAATTGTCTATCAAATTTTTCTTTCCACAACAATAACAATCAACGATTTTGTTAATCAATTTGAAATCATAACACCAACAAACATGATTGAAGATAAATAATCAAATCAATTGATTAACATGCAGAAAAAAGTGTAAAATTTAAAAAGATTTATGATTAACTAGTTAATTTAGATTAAATTTGTTGATTGTTTACTCAGAGAAAAATAAATCTCTATGTTATAATGTAAGGTAATGAATCTTTTATATTGTTTATTATTATTGAACAAACAATTTGTTTAATTGCTTCATTGGTAAACATTAATTGCTACGGATAAATTGTTGAGAATTTGGATAAACAAGTTGATTATGAACTTCAATCAATTGGAATGGATTGAAGTTCATTTTGTTTAATCATGTTTAACGCTCTCATTCATATTGATTTAGTTTGATTGTTGTTGTTTTTTTTTCTTCAACTAATTGTTTGAATTTTGTTTTCCTTTCTATCAACAATTAAACAATTTAGACTGATAATGATGGTGATCCGGTTTTGTATGTTCGCAGTAAATTCAATGTTAATATTGAAATTTTATCCAAATCATTGAGACAATTTTTAATCTTCTTCATGGATAAAATGGATCAACGATTTTCCCGTGAACGATCTTGGGGATTAGTATTTGATGCACAAGGATTTGGCTGGAATAATATTGACTTTGATTTTCTTAATCTAATTATTAAGATTCTTAAATATTATATGCCCTGGTCAGTAAAATATGTGGTCATCTATGAGATACCTTGGTTTCTTGAGTCCATTTGGAAAGCGGCTCAACATTTTATCCCGGAAGATGGTAAACGATTAATACGAGTTTATAATAAGAAAACTATTGGTGAAACAATTAACCCAATTAACATGCCAAAGGTGATCGGTGGTTTATCTCCAGATAATCATATCATAATTCCGGAGGGTGTTGAACCAGCCACGGTTATCGGTAAAATTGAATTGGGCCTTAATGATGAGGATGTTTATCGGATTAAGAAACATTTAGCTAAATTGGATAAAGAGATGGGAGAATTAATTAAAGTTTAATAGTAAACATTTCCCAATGGAAATACATGAGATTATTTTTTTATTTAGGGTTTGATTACCTTTCTTGATTATATTATAAATAACTTATTACATATTCACTTACATGTTGATTATATTGACAATAAGCAATCAAGTTTCAATGTTTTTTTTTGTGTATTTTGTATCATTTTAAAGTCTATTATTTTTGTTAATCTTGATTTATTCAATTTTAATTTTCTGTATAATTGTTATAAGTTTCTTTTCTTCTTGTTATTGATTAATAAACTACTTATTGGTAAACATTTTCACCTTGATTGTTAATTCATTCATTCATTCAGATAAATTGATTAACTTACCTAAGGAGAGGTTGAAATTTGTTGATGTTTGAGATGTGATTGATTTTTTGGACTCGATATTTGGTCTGGATTTTAATTTTTCTCCAATAATTTGTTTCTTTTTCACAAGTAATTGTAGGTGTGGTATCAAGTATCTATAGAAGAGAGAAATTAAAATGAAAATTGTGAGAAATTGTAGTTTCAAAAACCATGTAATTAATCAAAATCATGATAGTTTAAGGTTGTAACTTGACTTACCAATTTCTCACTTTGATCAAAAGGTATATTAATTTATAGTTGAAACTCAACTTTTGTCCAATCATCTTTACTTTCATTATCATTTCTCTTCAAATAAAAACTAAATCATTGTCAAAAAATCACTATCATGATTAAATGAGGTGTGTGATTAAAAAGTGTTTCTAATCTGTAACCTTAAACAACAGACATTAACCACTAACCCATATTAAAGTTTTCTAATTGTATAAGTAAATCTGTACACATGAATAAGTCACAATACTCACTTAAACTGAATTAATCTTCAAAGACACCGTTAATCACCAACAATTAAGCAATTAAAAGCAAACAATAGACAATAGTTAATTTTCCTATATCAATACAGTTAATCAAATTGAAAACGAAAACCAAACCAAAAGAAACAACAACTAAAGTGAAAGAAACAAAATCACAAATTAGTCACAATTAACAATCAACAAACTGTGTTCACAACAAAATCAATGACAGTAATGGTTAATTAACAATTGAATAAATCCAACATAATAGAAGATAATTAACTAAAACAATTAAATCAAATTAAAGGTGAAAATGTTGACAAAAATCAAAAAGAACAAAAAATCACCTGGAGACCGAACGCCACCTACCGGATTCGATTCTAACTAATATTCCATCAAAAATTTTGAGAAAGATTAACTTTTTTCGCTCCTAATAATTTTTAATTTAATTAACTTTACCTGTGAATTTAAAATTAAATTTTGTGTTATTATTGTTCATTTCATCACAAGGATCAAGTTGATAACAAAATTATGATAGTTCAACAGTTACTTTAGTTGTTTTTGTTACTCTTAAAACTGAGCTATTATTGCGTCGTAATAACTTCAACCATTTTGTTTTTCTTGGTAAGTTTTGTTGATAATTTGATACAACTTTCTTTTCTCTATTTCAGACTTAATCTCTGAAAAGATTGAAACTCTAATTTTATCTTCTCCCTTTTTTTTCATGAAAAACCTAATGAGTTAAACTATTCTTGGACCTGATTTTCACCCAAAAAAGAAACCAAAAAACACCCAAGGCCTTAGATGTCCTTCAAATTTAAACTTTAATCAAATTTAAACTTTAATCAAATTTAAACTTTAATCAAATTTAAACTTTTCAAATTCAAATTTAAAAATAATAGAAGCAAAAATTGTACAAACTGAGCGTCTAGCTCAGTGCCCACAAGGGCCACCCTCTCGGGTGCTAAATGCCTAATGCATTACCTCCGACCTTAGGAGGACAATAAACATCAATCGGATAATCAGAGTTTTTTTTTATTCGCTGACTAAATTCATTTTCACTTGTGAATTAAATAGTTTTGTGTCAACGGGAACCAGAAATTGGACAAAACACCTGAAAGAATGGACTGGAAATTGTCTTGAATCGAACTTCTTTGTAAAAACTATCAAGATGACGGAGAAAAAATTTGTAATCTGAGTGATCAGTTCAGCGCCATTAATGTGAACCAAACGCTTCTTGTGTTTGGTGCTAATTGCCTGGAGCAATGATTGAATATTTTCCATGGAAAATGTACTAATGTGGAATCTTGATTGTCTTTTATTGGAAATTGTATGTTACTTTAATCATCTTGACCCAAGATGTAAATGTAATCCTTTATTGGAAGGTCTTTATAACCCTTGACCAATTGTAACGATTCATTTGTTGCCCACCCAACTTAGGCCTCACTTTATGCTAATTAACACCAATGGTAAAGATTTAACATGGAAATTTATTGTTCCTTGATCCAGTCGAATGGTTTAATCATCTCTGTGAATGTTGATTGACTAAAAATTGGCTAATCCGTTTGTCTGTTACCTTTTGACATTTTTAATCCTTTTGGTGTTTGTGACATTGATGAGAGGATTTCGCTTCTATAATGAGTAAGTGTGATGTCAATTGATTAGCGAAAGTAACACTGGTTTAACCTTTTATCTTTTTCTCTTATTGAGAATATTTAATTTTAGCATCAATTAGGATTCACTCTTTGGAATTACGTTCGTCATCCTCATCACCATTTTCTGTATCTTTTTCCTCATCCTCCCTCTTTCTCTCATCCGCCATTTTTATCTTCATCTTTGTTTTTCACAATATTCTTGTAAGAATATTTTTCTCATATGTGTTATTGACTCTTTCAATCTTTTTCTTTCTTTTCTAATTGAATTACAATTAATTAGATGTTCTCTTTGCTTACTTCCTCATCATGATTCCAAGTAACAACATATCAAAGTCATCACCTTCACTTTCCTGTTTATCTTCAACTATTCCCAGCGCCATGGTAAACACAGGAGTTCATTTGAATTCTGATTGTTGGAGAGTCATTTGTGATTTATTTGATTATCGTTCACTTATTAACTCTCGTTTGGTTTGTTCTTCTTGGTTTGAAATGATTTTTCCATAATCTCTTCATCTAAATCATCTTTAGTTATTTTCGGTCCAAGTCCAGAGTCACATCGTCGTCGAAACCAATTACCAATAGGTCGTGCCGATTGTAATATTAACCATCATCGGATTAATCCAAATGATCGTTTAACAATAAAATCAACCAATAGTTGGTTTCAATGGCGAGCTCAATAAAATGATTAATTCACTAATCACTTTGTTACCGTCTCTTCGTGTACTTATGTTAGATTGTCTTGGTTTCTGGTTAACTGCTGATCAATGGAGATTATTGGAACATTTAAATATCCTTAATTGTACTCGACTTGATGATCATTTTAAGGGTTCATCGGATCATTGGAACACTTTGAAATACATCATTGTTTTTTTGTGGATCCAAAAAAGTTGGAAAAATTTCTGATCAACAATCAATCAATTACATCGTTAATTTTTCAAGGTTCAGAAGATCTTGAAATTAATTTAACCTTTTCACCCTGTTTGGTTAATCAACTTTCGTAACTCTCATTGATTGGATCCTATTTGGGAATCACTTTCATCACCAGTTTAGCTCAAACCGCAACAATTAACATGAGTTCATCGTTAACGGTTCTCTGAATCTCTTTTGTTACCAGTAAACAATTAAAATTGATCTGCAGCTCATTGGTATAAACCCTGAAAATTTTTGAATTCTAGTCAAATATTGTTGAAATTCGTGATTTAAACGAGTTAACATCTCTACAAAAATTAACTTTCTCCTGAACTCGACCTTAAAACTTTTATCAATATCTTTCACTTATGATCCAAGGAACTTCATCATTAATTTGTCTTAAAATCAAATGTCCCTTTATTGATGACACTTCCATCTAGATAATAACAATTAACTGTCCTTTAATTGTTTCACTTCGTTTAATTGGCTGCAATTTAAGAGAAACAAGTTCAATCTCCTTGCGACATTTAATCCGACGTAAATCATTGGAATTCGTTGAAATAACCAACAGTAAAATCGATACAAGTGGATTAAGTGAATCATCACCTATTTATGAACATTAGTAAAAAAAAGAGATGAATCAAAATCAGTTAATGATCTTATAAGGTTTCCATTAATGAGCTTAATTTAATATCGACAAAGGTTTCGATTGGTGAGACGACTCAAAATCAATCGCTATCCATTTCCAATGTAATCAAGTTAACCGATAGTTCAATTGTTTCATGAAAAGAGACAATTCATTAACACCTCTATCGACCGATAAGAAAGGTAAACAATTAAATCTCTTTAATTTGATTTGACTTTTTATTCTTTGATTTTTTTTTCTCTATAGAGATTAATGAACAATCAACTTATCAATCAAAATTTAAACGATCGTTCAGACGATTTAACCATTAGAATTTCATCATATCAACAATCAGCAGCTCCAATGAATCCACCTCTAATTGAAGCATCACTACCAACACCACAATCACAACCAAAATCAGAGCCAAAACTCAACTACAACAATCAACATCGACAGTTAAATCATCTCATCCACCTCAAGTCACATATTCACCTCCGACTGAGATTTTGGTGGCAATTGACCCACCAATATTTTCATCTAAGCCCGAATCCCGATCAGGCTCATTTAATAAACAATCAATTTCACCGATACCATTAACTGGACAGATTAACAGAGGTTATCGATATCAATCAAGTGACGATTCTGATGTTGATAATTTATCAACAATTAAAGACAAACGTGATAAACAAAAGTAGAAACGACGATTAGCTGATGGCCGACAACCGGCTAAAGAGCCTGAGAAAAGGAGGAAATCAGAATCACAAATTGATTTAAGTGGTTGGATTTAAATTCACTTTTCACAATTAGTCAATTCACTTTCCATTTAGAAATATTATCAATTAAAAAATATTCTCCCAATTTCTTTTCCATTTTAACAATTAAATCTAAGTTACCTTTCTGTATATTGACCAATAAGAATTTCAAAAAAGATAATTGAATTGAATCTTTAATTCAAAACTAAATTAACGTTTTAATCATTGTTATTGAATAAGATTCAACATAGTCTACATAATTTACACAATATAAAAAGCACAGAAAGAAAATATCATCAATAGTTAATTAATTAATAGTGATCAACGATTTTGCTTGAATTTAACTTTAACTGAATTCATTGCTGCCGCTCTCGCTGAATCGATCAACGATTGAGATATTTCAAGTCGAGCATCGGATAATTTACGATTTTGTAGGAAAGTTTTATGATCGGCACAATTATCGGCAAATAGAACTTTTAAAACAGGCCTCATACCAGGTAATCGAGAGAAATCAGAGAATTGAACTTTCATATTATCAAAGGAAACGCCAAAATTACCAGTTAAACTATCAGGTAAAACGGGTGCTTTGTAGTACCGTTGACTAAAATGGGTTAAAAGTGTAAACCCGGCATTCATTTCTTGGCCCATGTCCACTGCTTGTGAGAAAGTTGAATGTTTCTTAAAAATGGCCTCCTCTATAAGCTCATCGTCAAAAGTTGCTTCATGAATCAATAGATCACAATCACGTCCTGGTTCAATCAGTTCAGGTGAAGGCATAGCATCACCGGAGTAAACAATTTTACGATCAGGTACATCGGCACCATTTCCTTTGGTGGTAATTATAATTCCAAATGAATCACGACAATGGATTACACGAGCTATTGTAAGGTCTTTTAATCGTAAATTCTCTAGTAATTGTTGGTTGGACATTCCTTTCAGGTAAGTTTGACACAAGGCAATGTGACAAAGGTGATCAACTTTACCACTAATTTCGGGAAAATCGCGGAGAAATCTTTCAATTCGAGGTGGACAGATGACCAAAGGTCGAGAGTCGGTTAATTTGGCTCGTTCTTGAAGAAGTCTAACCAAACCTAATTGATGGTCAGCGTGATAATGTGAGATGAAAATTGCACGAAGATTAGTTAACTTCTCTTTAAATTCGGACCCATAGAATCGGTAAAACTGTCCAAATGTACCTTCCCCACAATCAAACATAATTAAATTATCTGGATGAGTTTCGATTATGATACTTGATGAGGTTCGATATTTTCCTGGTACAGCTGAACCAGTTCCAAGGAAAATGATTGCTGGCCCATTATCGGGTTGATTGTTACAAACCAATGAGATGTGTTGTTTATAATCATCGATTGTTTTAATTAAAGTTTCACGATCTTCAATATCTTCCTCAATTACTTCTGGTTTAATTGTTTTTAACATTAGATCAACCTCATCATGGCTGATAACTTGATCGGTGATCGGATGAATTCTGAACTGGGTACCAACAGAAACAGGAATCATGTTAAGTTCATCTAGATCTGGATTAGCTTGGGTCTCGGTAAAAGGAGTAGTGAAAATTTTATCATCGAACATCCTTAATTTATGACTAATCACATTAGCACCAAAAAAACACAGACTAGGATTTAACTCATTAAGAGCAATATGGGAAACATTGGGAGGAAATTTTCTCATCCATTCTTTAAATTTATCATCTTTGATCACGTTAACTGGACTAAAGTGGAAAATATATTCCAATGGGTGCCGAGAATCAGGTTCATGAAGAGAAGATAATTTTTCACTTTCCAAAATTGAATTGAAATATTCCATTGATGGACATTCGAGGATAACAAAAGTACTTCCAGGTTGTGAGGGTTCGATTACGTCTTGAGATTTGATTATTCGTCCATCTTCAAGAGTTACATCTTCGCCCGATTTTAAACGGCCTAAAATAGGGCCTGGAGGAATTTTTAATTCAATACATTTGGCGATCAACAATTTACCAGGTCTCTCGTGTAAACGGCAAATGTAAACAAAGGCACAGTCGAGGTGATGTTTCGATTTCTTTAGGGTAACACCTTCGTCTCCAGAAATGTGACCTCGATATATTGGGATGAAATCGATGGTTAGAAAATTGTCTTTAAATCCACTGGAACAATCGTTGTTCACTCTAAATTTGATCTCATTTCTCTCATCGAAAGTTCGAGTGATTCCAGCCAGTTTTTCTTGTAAAAGTGGCCCATGAGCGGTAACCGCCGTGTTTAAGGTTAAACACATTCCAGGTAAACCGGCAATATTTTCCCACGAACTGTGAGTCACGAAAATATTGTTAAGTCCAGTTAATCGAGTTCTGTAAAGAGAGCGGAAACAAATATAGAAAAAAAATTAAATCTCTCTGAGAAAGAAGGAGATATAAATAGAAAAGAATAGAAGAAAAAAATCTTACTTATGAGTCACAGCGGCTCTTTGAGCTCCTTCTCCGCAATTGAATAGATATTTATTAAATTCAGTAACCAACATGACACATCTTGGATTAGGCAATGAACCATTGCCTAGAATATTTAATGTAACAAATGATGGAAAATTGGTTTGACTTAATTTCTCATTTTTCCGTTTACCTTTGGCCATTTTGGAAAGAAGATTATTAATCGAAGATTTTTTTCCAATAGTAGAACAAAATTTAACACTTCCACTAAGATGAAATCTACTAGTCAACTTTTGACCATAAGAAACATTTATACAATTAACCAGGTTAATTCTGGTTAAAAAAAACATTCAATTAGAAGTAAAAAGAAAACGAGAAATCAAAAAAATTATATAGACAAAAGTGAATTAAAAATGAAAAACCTAACCAAAAGACAATCAACAACCAGAAAATTAACTAATCACAAGATTGAAACAAATTCTTAGAAGATGAAATAATTGTCACCAAGGGATGAGTAATATTAAGGCGAGAAAAAAAAATGAAAATCAATTAAGAGAAATTAATTAATCAAGTTAATCAACACAAGGAAAACAAGTCAACACACTGGAAGAAACAAAATTCAAATCCAAAAACATGGTGAGAATTTTTTCCAAAACATGTGTTGGTTATTTCTCACACTTATCATTTTCTTTTCTATTCAAAGAGATTGAATTTTTTTCCTTCCATTTTGATTAATTGTTATTCTTTAATTATTGTGATTAAAAAGGTGACAGTCGGTGAGTGAATTAAATTAGACGAAGTAATTAAGATTCTTACAATAAATCTAAAAACAAGTGACTTAATTGTTTGATTTGAAGAGTTTTAACCTAATCAGATATTTTGTCTTCTCTTTTTGTTTCTTTACATTGGATTTACCATTGAAAGATTTTGATAATTTATCAATTTGGTTGATAATTTGATTAATCTTTTTAATTTCAATTTAATCAGTAAGTATTTTGATTTTAAGGTTTAATTACATGTTGTGATTTTTGTCAAATTTTGATGGTAATAAGATGAATGGCTGTTTTCCCTCTTCTTTTTTTACTTCAAATGATACATTACATTTTTCTCTCACTTTTTTGTTTGATTTTCTAAATTGTTCTGATAATTTTCAATTGGTTTAATTTTCTCTAGTGAGTGGAACATTTCTGATGAAAATCTATACGATGAATTTGGTAACTATATTGGGCCTGATATTGAATCTTCAGAGGAAGATTCAGAACAAGAGGCGGAAGATGTTGATGATGATGAAATGATGAGTCGTGATGATGGTGGAACCAGAGGTGCGATTGGTGGTGGTGGTAGCGATGGTTCAGATGACGATGACAATGAAATGGCCACTGGAAATGAGATTGTACTTCACGAGGATAAAAAATATTATCCCTCCGCTGAGCAAATTTACGGGCCTGATGTTGAAACATTAGTCCAAGAGGAAGACGCCCAAGCATTAACGGTACCGATCATCGCACCGGTTAAAACAAGTACATTTTCCCACCAGATTCAAGAAGTACCACAGACAACATATGATCTTCAATTCATGACCGATACACTCATGGTTACACCTACTTTGATTCGTAATGTGGCCTTGATTGGGCATCTTCACCATGGTAAAAGTACGTTTGTCGATTGTCTTGTTGAACAGTCTCACGTTGATTTAGGTCAAAAAGATGGTAAAAGTTATCGATACACCGATACACTTTACACCGAACAAGAGAGAGGAGTTAGCATTAAATCATCTCCGATTACAATTGTGATGCAAAATTTGAAAGAAAAATCGTATCTTGTAAATCTTTTCGATACCCCGGGTCATGTTAATTTCTCCGATGAAGTGACCGCCGCTATCCGTTTATCCGATGGAGTTGTTTTATTTGTCGATGCTGCTGAAGGTGTTATGCTAAACACGGAGCGATTACTCAAACACGCCATTCAAGAAGGCTCAGCGATCACCTTGTGTATCAACAAAATTGATCGTCTAATCATAGAGTTAAAATTACCTCCAATTGAAGCTTATTACAAATTGCGGCATATTATCGATGAGATTAATGGACTGATACAAACATACACCGATGACGATAATCGTATTGTATTGTCACCATTACTTGGAAATGTTTGTTTCGCTTCCTCAGAGTTTCATGTTTGTTTCACGATTAAATCATTTGCTTATCATTATGCCGAATCTTATAAATTTGGTTTTGCTGATAAATTTGCCGAGCGTCTTTGGGGCGATGTTTACTTTGATCCGATAAGTCGAGCGTTCTTCAAAAAACAGCCTAATAGTTCAGTTCAACGAAGTTTCATCCAATTTATCTTGGAACCAATTTATAAACTATTCGCTCAAGTGGTTGGAGATGTCGATACAGTTTTACCAGAGCTAATCGGTGAATTGGGAATCCGTTTAACCAAAACTGAGGCCAAACTTAATATTCGACCGCTACTTCGACTTGTGTGTCAACGATATTTTGGTAATTTCAATGGGTTCGTCGATATGCTTGTTAAACATATTCCATCTCCCGATACAAATGCCAAAAAACGAATCGAAATGACCTGGAAAGGACCAATCGACTCACCACTCGCCCAGGAGATGATTAAATGTGACCCTGAGGGCACTTTGGTTGTTCACACGACAAAACAATACTCAACCCAAGATGCATCGACTTTTCATGTTTTCGGACTTGTCGTTAATGGTACAATAAGGTCCAAGCAAACGGTGAAAATATTGGGTGAGGGTTATTCGAGTTTCGATGAAGAGGATTCAAGAGTTATGACCATTGGCCGTTTGTGGATTCACGAGTCAAGGTACAATATTGAAGTGAATCAGGTTCCCGCTGGTAATTGGGTGCTTATTGAGAGTATTGATCAGGCCATCGTTAAAACAGCAACTATCGTTGATCCTCGTTATAAAGGTGAACTGTTTATCTTTAAACCTCTTAAGTTTAACACTCAATCGGTTATTAAAATTGCCGTTGAACCTGTTAATCCATCTGAGTTACCGAAAATGTTGGAAGGGCTGAGAAAGTGTAACAAATCGTACCCGTTATTACAAACTAAGGTTGAGGAAAGTGGGGAACACGTTATTCTAGGCACTGGGGAATTGTACCTGGACTGTGTTATGCATGATCTTAGACGAATGTATTCCGAGATAGATATTAAAGTGGCCGATCCTGTGGTTTCTTTTTGCGAAACTGTGGTGGAAACTTCATCTTTAAAGTGTTTCGCTGAGACGCCGAATAAGAAAAATAAGTTGACAATGATTGCTGAACCATTGGAGAAAGGGTTAGCTGAAGACATCGAGAATCAAACTGTTCAAATAACATGGCCTCGTCGAAAGTTGGGTGAATTTTTCCAGAAAAAGTACGATTGGGATCTTCTCGCTGCACGATCAATTTGGGCTTTTGGACCAGATCAAAGTGGACCAAATATTTTGGTCGATGATACTCTTCCCTCTGAGGTGGACAAAAATCTTCTCGGAATGGTCAAAGACAGTATTATCCAGGGTTTCCAATGGGCGACCCGTGAAGGTCCACTTTGTGAAGAGCCGATTCGTAATGTAAAATTTAAAATTCTGGACGCAGTTGTAGCCAATGAACCAATTCATCGAGGTGGAGGTCAAATTATTCCAACTTCTCGTCGAGTTGGTTATTCAGCTTTTCTCATGGCAACTCCTCGTCTCATGGAACCATATTATTTTGTCGAGGTTCTTGCACCCGCTGATTGTGTCCCAGCGGTTTACAATGTTCTTGCCAAACGCCGAGGTCACATTACCCAAGATATACCAGTTCCAGGGTCACCTTTGTACACCGTTAAAGCTTTCATTCCCGCCATAGATTCATTTGGTTTTGAAACTGACCTTCGAACCCACACTCAAGGTCAAGCCTTTTGTCTCTCCGTTTTCCATCATTGGCAAATTGTCCCCGGTGATCCGTTAGATCGGTCAATTATCATTCGACCTTTAGATCCTCAGCCTCCTCCCCATTTGGCGCGTGAATTCATGATTAAAACTCGTCGTCGAAAAGGCTTAAGTGAAGATGTAACAATTAACAAATTTTTCGATGATCCAATGCTCCTCGAACTTGCTAAATCAGATGCCTTGAATTTATGATTAACTAAATAAGAGGAATCATAATTGTACAATTTTCTTGCACATTCATCATTTCTTATCATGATCATCAATTGATCGTTAATCACATTAATCAACATCCATCATAAACTGATCGTCATCTAAATTAGTTATCAACAATTTAAATAAAAGCTTAAATGGAAACCATATTATTATGATTTTCGTAATTCTAATTTGTTAATTATCAACATCTTCAAGTACCAATTCCCTCCAAGGAGTTAAAAAAGAGACCAACTTGATTATCTTATTAAATAACAATCAGTTAATTGATTTGACTCAACCCATTCTGAGGAGAAAAGATAAAAATTAAGATTTAACCAAAGATTAGAAAACGAAAAAGTTAATTAACAGAGATTAATCTTAATTGTGACCTGATAATTTAATCTTTCAACCTGAAGATGATTAAAGATAAAAATTGTTACAGAAATTAATCAGTTATCTTAATTTTAATTGAATGTTAAGCATTTATTTTACTCAATTCACTTGATAATCAATCGGAAACCCTCATCAGATGTTAATTGCTCAATCGATGAGAACAATTAATTTCTGTCAAAATCCTTAACTTGATTAATTATTAATTGAGTTATGGTAATACATTTTTTTCCCAACGATCAAATTTATATTTCTAATTATCATCATGATTAGGCTTAAGTTAATTATTCTGTTGATTGTTGGGAAAAAAATTTCAATGAAAGTTGATTCACAATTAGTTACATTTATTCAAATTAACTTGATTTATTAATTTGTTTCCAAGTTAATCTGCTTTCGATTGTTTTTCCTGCTTAATTGTTGCTAATAAACAACAATCAACACAAGTAGTGGAACACAAAATTAATTAGAGGAAGTAATATTTTGATCGTATCTTAATTGTGATAGTTTTGGATAACAATCAAGATTCAATTATTATCAGAATAGCTTATTAATTGCTATCTAATAGATGGAAAAATTCATAAACAAATGATAGTAAATTTTCAATTATCGATATTGACTATAGATGACAATTAAAATCTTTTTCGGACTAATTATCCTTAGAATTTAAATTGTTTAAAGTAAATCGAGGTTATTAATTAAAGGGAAATTTACAACTAAAACTTGCGAATGAAAATCTTAACTATAGTAGGGAATATCTATCAATTTAGTCGGAATGGTTGACAATTAGTGATTTTGAAATTAGATTATGAGATTGGTTATCTAGATGGAAGGAATCAACTTAACCAGTAATTAAAGTGACAATTTAGTTTCGGAAGTGAGATTACATCAATAAGCTCAAAGATGGAAATATATTAACACAAATAAACCAGTTGAAAAACATTGGATAATAACAGCGGAGAGAAAATCAAAGTAAACTATTAACTAATACAAATAACTCTAATGTATTAAATTAAAGTTAATTGTTAACTAAATCAACTAATCAAGATACTTGGCTCTATTTTTTTTATCAATCAAACCATCAGGTAATAAAAAGAGAAGCAGCAAGAGTAACAACAAAAACCAATAATGACTTAAAGATAGAGTAATCAAAGTGATAATAATTGAATTAGATGAGGTAATTAATTAGTTGTTAATGATGTTGATCAGTAGATGAAGGATAAATTAACCAAGGTAAGTAATTTAACACCAAAAGAGAACGGGGAATATAAATAAAAAGAGGGAAAACTTGATATTATCTTTTGGTTTTAAAAAACACCATCAGCATCCATTAGAAACTTGGATCCTCCTTTGGCCTCCCTGTTGGAAAAACTCAAAGATATTGAGATTAACATCACCATGATTATCAGCGATAGAAAAATTAAAATCTAATCTAGTTCACAATTAATTGAGAATGGAAGATTTTTACCAATAAATTAACTTGTAACAGTTAATTTACATTAATGATGATGATGGTAACCATGATAACAGAAACAATGAAGATAAAATAATAGACAAAACCAAGGGGAGAGTAAACAAATTACGAAGATAAAACAATAATTAGAAACCACAAGCAACAAAATTAATTGTAATAAACATTAATTGTAGAAGAGAAAAGTTAATTAATATAAAAACAATTAGAGAAAACGATTTAATTGTTTGTCGTTCAATCAACTGTTTACATAAATTAGAAAAGAACAAACAAAAAATTCTTTTCTATTTCTCTGTCTACTTTTCTGTCTATTTTTCTATTTTCTAACTTAACCCTTTTGCCTCCATTTTCCTTTGTCATCATTTACTTTTTTCTTTCTCTTTGTTAATGTAGCAACTTTTTTATTAATTTCGCTGTGATTTAATTGATTTGATTTTTCTTTTTTTTTGATTTTGTGTCGAGATTTTTTTCTTAATTGTGTTGTCTACAATTACGAGGTGTCAATCAATTTGTCAATCATTCATTTAAATAGAGACACTATTAACCCTTAATGTACCAGTGTTACTTTAACTCTATCCATCACTACCATCATTATCATCAATCATTTGGGAAATACTTGACCCCACCAACGCCTTACCTTAAATTTTGGCTATTCCATAGTCCCCTTAGACTGTTTTGTTCTGTTGCCGATTATTTGGTTAAATTACCTATTGTTTTATTTGGAGTAATCGTTGGTCACTTTTTTGGTTGATTAGAAATAGAGAGAGAGAGAGAGGAAAATGACCATCGCCACGGATTCTGTTTCTGTTACTTCTTCTTCTGCCAAAGGCTCAGCTACTGCTGCTCTTATGAATGTTCTCAAAGGTAATATTGGTACTGGAATATTATCTATGCCTATCGCTTTTAGAAATGCTGGTATTATGGCGGCCATTTTTACGCTTCCTCCTATTGGACTGATTTGTATCCATGCGATGTTCCTACTGGTCAATGCTAATCGTAAACTTATGGAAAAACTTAAAGTCTCTGAGCTAAGCTACGAAGAGGTAAATTTCTATATTTGTGTATTTGTGCCTCTCAAACTCTTCCGAACATTTTGATTAATTTAATCAGCTCTCAATTTTAATTTTCTTCAAAGAAAACTTATTCTAATTTTCTCCTTGTGAAACATAATTCAATTGATCCATGCAATTATCGGTGATCATTATTTGAGCACCTTTAATTGCTTCCTAATGTATCAACTAATAATTAGTAACTATTATCAAGGTTAATTTTGTTAGTTTTCCAATCAATGAGAAGACAAACATGATAGATTCTATCATGCTGATTACTTGATCAATTGATCATCGGTGATTCTATTCTTTGTCAATTTATCAATTTGTAATTAAATTTAGATTAAAAATAATCTAAATTGTTAAAAATTTGTTATATTACATTTTAGTCTGTGAGGTCTGATTAATCAAACTGTTAACTGTATTATGTAATTGCTAAGCTAATCATCTGTGCTTTCAAAGCACTTCAGTTGAAATTCAGAAGCTATTAGTGAGATTGATAACAAATAATCAGTTAAACCATAATTGTTACATGTTTATATAATCAACAATAACAGATTTTTTGTTACACAACAACAATTAGTTATTCAATCATATTACCGAATCAACAATTAACTTAACCATTTCAAGAACACTCAGAATCAGCTAAATCATTTGTTTAACTGAGCATCGAAAAGAAAATATTAAATTTTCTTCCAATGTTTAGATTATCAAATTTCTGTGATAAATATAAAAATAATTACTTGTACTTTTTATGCAAATCGTGACAATTAAATGTGGAAATTAAACTTTTTCATTTAGTTCTCGAAGCAGAAGAAAAAATTTCAAAATCATTAATTGATTTGTAATTTGATTCATAGACAATGAATAGTTTTAAATATCAATATTGATTCATTAACATGATCACAACTCATTTGATATTTTGGATCATTCAATCTGGTCTGTAAATAACTAAATCTAATTACCATTGACAGATTTAATTGCTTCAATGTTTTTAGAAAAACTTTCCATGAACAGTTAATAATTAACTGCTAAAGTTTCAATGATGAATCAATTGACTCAGCAGAATTGGATTAACTATTAATTTTTTTTATGAAATTTGATCTCAATATTTTTCTCCGCCCGATTGAATTGAATTAATCTTTATTTCTTATTTTCTCATATAACTCAGACTGCCGCTAAAGCATTTGAAAATGGTCCACCCCAACTTCGTCCTTATGCTGGACTCATAACTAAATTGGTGTCAACATTTTTAGTAATCACTCAATTCGGAATAACGGTAGCATATATTTTATTTGTAGTGGAAAGTTTTCGAAAGGTATTATCCAATTACGCTGAAAATGCTGAGAAATTTGGTATCGAGGTTTACATCATGGCTTGTTATCCATTAATGTTGGCTCTCAATTGCATTAAAACACTTAAATATCTTGCAATTGCTTCAGCAATTGCTAATTTACTACAAGGAATTGGACTTCTTGTCGTGCTTGCTAATTTAATTCAAGATCTTCCACCGATAACTACCGTTAAATATACGAATTGGGAATCATTTCCATTATTTTGTGGAACTGCTTTTTTCTCCTTCGAAGGTATCTCAATTGTAAGTTTCGAAACTTTTTACGATTTTAAGTCTTATTAATACTTCTGAATTATCTAATTCTATTTCATTTTTTTAGATCTTACCTATCAAGGATTCCATGAAGCGAGCAGATAAATTTGGTGGCCCTTGTGGGGTTTTATCAATTGGAATGCAAATTGTCACCGTGTTGTATTGTATTATAGGATTTTTTGGTTACCTTAAATTTGGTGAAAATATCGCCTCCACCGTAACTAATAATCTTCCCTCCAAAGTCATCTATGATATTGTACGTTTGATGTTTGCTGTTTCGGTTTTTCTTTCATATCCATTGCAAATGTTTGTACCGATCAATATACTTTGGCCAACATTTCAGTCCAAATTGCCATTGAAATGGCAAAAGATGGAAATTTTTAATGTAATTTATCGTGGATCTTTAGTTATGTTTTCATGTGAGTTTTATACTGATATTTTATATTTTAACACGAAAATTATTATCATAATTTCCTTTCTCTCAGTTCTCGTAGCTTCATTTGTGCCTCATCTTGACCTTGTTATCTCTCTGGTTGGTGCCTTCTGTAGTTCTTCAATTGCTGTACTATTTCCACCGGTTATTCATTACGCTGCTTTCTGGGAGCATCGAGAATCGTATAGTAAACTCAAGTGGAATTACATAAAAGTAAAAGCAGTCCTTATTTTCATCTTCGGAGCGATTGGATTTTTCCTTGGTACATACACCAGTGTATTAGCTATTTGGAATGCACCTTCAGAATCTGATAAACATTGAATTAATCATTTTTATACTCACCTACTCTAAGTCATCTTGCTCATCATCATTATCATCATCATCAAAATAATGACAAATCAATGTTATATTTAAAATTTTTAATAATTTTATCGTTGAAGATATCAAGTTAATTTTTATTATTATTGTGATTTAAAGTTAGATTTGTTTGTTAAATTTATTATTCTATTTTTTGATGTAAAGACAATAACGTTTTCTTTGTATGCATAAACTTTGCATACATACAAGTTAACGCAATAATTAATTTCTTAACTTTGGAGACATAAACTCTCTCAAGGTAACCTGATTGTGTCGCTATTTGGACTCCGATCATCCTGTAAATTTGTGTGGTCACAAGAACGGGAGCCTGGACCTCATTGGGTAACAATGGGATACCATTTAAAGCGGTGGTTGCATAATCATCGGCTAAATTAAGCATCTTGAGTGCGTAATCTTTTAGTTTATCTTGACCTAAAGACCAAGGGTTACGATCAACCTTTAAAAGTTTCAACTCTTTCTCCGGACAATCCATGTAGTTTGTTGGTACATAACAACGGCCCAAAGTAACGGAATCAGTGACAATATCACGAGCGATATTAACAATTTGTAAAACCTAACCCAAATTAATTGAATAATCAATTGAATTATTATTGATTGAATTGAATTAATTGTGATTTATTAATTGATTGAATCTTACTTGTCCCATTTCCTTTGCTCTTTCAACCATAGCAATGTGATCATCAGTAACTCCGTTAGGAAATTTTCCGCTTTTGTAGCACATAACAAATGTACAAAGAATACCAATAGATGAGGCAACATAAGAGGAATACTCAAGAAGATCACTTTCTGTTTCAACTGTTTTATCCTCGATATCCCAAGAATAGCCTCGAGCTAATTCATAGAAAGGTTCAGACGGAAGATAATAGACAATGTGAGTTAGCGCTCGAAAAGCGGCCAATTCATCTTTAGATAAACAACAAGTAAAATCTTTCCAATTGATTTTCGGTTTTTTCCTTGGATCCATTTTCGTTGGTACATCGTAGGTCCACTTTCTATTTCCACGATCGGCAAATAATTGATCGAGAAACTTGTTAATTATTGATAATTTTTCTCGTCGAGTTTTAATTCCTTGTGAATTATCAATCATATCATCAGTAACTCGAGCAAATCCATATAATATACTCAAGTCAATTCGAATACCTGAATTAGCAAATCAGTAATTGTTCCAATAGTATTAAAGCAAATACTTTTTAAATTATTAATATTTGTATGTTGTACGATAATAATGTCCATAAATTGTACAACAATCAGCTATGTAATTTTAATTTTGTTCTGGTTCTAATTCATAAATTGGCTTATTTTAATAGTTTTGTAGTTTGAACTTTTCAGAGATTTGATTTTCTTAGAAAATTTTGCTTACCTGAATGAAAGGTTGAAGCTGCAGCAGTAAATGATTTAGATGAATGATTAAGGACTTTAAAGCAAACAATTAAGTCCTCGAGTCGTTGTTTAGGTAAATTTGGTTCGTAAGGCAAATGCGAAAAAGTTTGTTTAAAATATTGAGGAAATTGGAAAACGTTAACGATGGACTAGTCGGGAATAGATCGGGATAAAGGTCAATTGTACATTTGGCTTTATCGAAAGCACAATTGGCTAAAATAATTAAGAAATTAACTATGGTAAAGAAAAGCGCTTCTTCGAGTGGAAGTTCGGGTACAACGAACCATTCGATTGATGTAGCAGTATTAATATGCCAAATTCCTTGACGAAGGGAAAATGTATCAACCCAACAGAGATAAATCGAAGGGACAATTAAACTAATTGCTACCGTTTTCCATTGGGAGACAAAATAATTACCCGCTCCAAACCAAAGGAAACACAGAACTGGACATATCCACCAAAGAAGTGACCCAAGGTAAAAGGTCTTTGTCCCTGGGATACCAATAGAAGCACCGATTATTGTGATGACCAAGAAAATCGCACAGGGAATGTAACGAATCAAATTAAATGAGATCGGGTTAAAGTTCAAATGTAAACACGGGACTGACCATCGCATACAAAGTATTGTCCACAAAGAGGAAAGGACAGTTTGAATTATGAAAAAGGCATATTCCTCATATGGAACCCAACCAATAACACCAAGAACGCGGTCAATCGGGTATGACCAAGCATCGTGATAAACGATATAATTGTCCCAAGGAATCGTGTAGATGAGGGCACAGGCAGAAATGAACGATAGTTTTACAAATTCGTGGACATTTAAAAATGGACGTAAAATCAAATACTCAATCAAAATAAACGGTAAAGTAAAATAAACGTGGACATCAAGGTAAGTCCAGACCATGTTGATTCAGTTATTCAATTGAACCATCGATATCTAGTTCTTGCGTTTAAATCCACAACAGGAAAACTTATTTACCATGCAAATCAATTTAAATTGTCAATTAGTCTCACTGATTGAGTTGATTAAATTTTCTGCTCATTATTATCAATCTATTGATATTAAACTGCATTTGACATTAAACTATTAAGTTTATTAATTTAGTTTGACTAACGATAATTATTCAGAAACTGAATATTAGACTTTTGTTCAATTTTATAACTATCAAGACTGAAATGAGTGAGCATCTCACGAACCTTAAGTTTTGGACCCACGTTTCTATACATTTTAAGAAAGTATTTGACGCTGAGTCAAAATACTTTTTCTAGGACGCACTCAAGATATCGAGTGGCCTGAAAAGCGAACGGTTGACTTTTGACTAAAATTTTCGGTCAAAAGTTATTCTTTTGACCTATTATCTCATATATCTAAGCTCATCATTATCTGAAGTAAGGTTATTGAGATCAACATGGCCGAAATCAACGAAAATTGCTCTTTAACTTTCATTATAAATTTCTAGAGAAAATCGCGATTTAATAAGAACCACAGTTGCACTTGAACTTCGAAAATTTGAAAAATTCACGATTTATAATTGATCGATGGCGCTTTCAATGGCGTTTGAAATTTTATTCTAGGACCTACCATTCTTGAGATGCTCACTCATTTTCGGTCACCCGATATTATTAAAAACTATCACAATCAAAATTTTGATTATCAACAATAATCACAACGCTAATGTGATTTACTATCAAATTAAACTAAATACTTTTGTTGCGAACTGTATTTAAATCTTATGTTCAACTTAAGGAATTAAGCTAATTGATTGATTCGATTAAGATATAATAATTTAATTATTCGAGTAGTGATTAAACAGAACATTTAAATTACTAATAAATTGATTTGGTTTTCTTTGAATAAATTTAAATCTAACTTGAGATAATTTCTAGCTAATGATTATCACCTCAATCAATTTTCTATACCCAATAGTTAATTAATTGTTCCGTTGATTAAATGAAGAAAATAAGTAAATAGATTAAGTTTCCGATGAATCAAATTGTAAATTCTCAATGTCAAGAATTAGGCTCAATTGTATTTTTTTTATGTTATTCCTGTAATTAAAACTTCGAGGGTTAATCAAAGCTTTGATTACTCTGTTTAACTTAAGGTGAAAATAACTGTTGTCCAGTTTGACCATATAAAAGATTAATTCATTGAGAAAAGTTTGTGAGGATTCTGCTTGTCGGGAAAAAATTGATCAGATCAACTTGATCTTCATTGATTTGCAATTGAAAATCAACACAACACGAAATGATGAAAGTTTACTGTCTAAAATGTGATAATGAAAATGCTATAGATTGTGAATATCGACGATGTTCAAGTGACTGACCTCAAGCTGAAGGTCACAAATATAGTAAATTACATTATCATTAGATGAATCCAATTGTCGTTGTCAACTATTTCATTTCATCATAATTAGAGATTAGATTTTGACTATCATTGGGTATTTCCTTTTTCAATTAGATAATTTCCTTGTTTTTTTCAAATGAATTTCTCATGAGTTCTGGTGATTCTGAAACTGACTTGATCTGAATTGAATGTAATCATCACTAGATGGATAATGGATTGAGAATTCTGATCTTATGTGTGCTCGATTGAATCGATAAATTTATTATTCTATTTTTTGATGTAAAGACAATAACGTTTTCTTTGTATGCATAAACTTTGCATACATACAAGTTAACGCAATAATTAATTTCTTAACTTTGGAGACATAAACTCTTCAAGGTAACCTGATTGTGTCGCTATTTGGACTCCGATCATCCTGTAAATTTGTGTGGTCACAAGAACAGGAGCCTGGACCTCATTGGGTAACAAAGGGATACCATTTAAAGCGGTGGTCGCATAATCATCGGCTAAATTAAGCATCTTGAGTGCGTAATCTTTTAGTTTATCTTGACCTAAAGACCAAGGGTTACGATCAACCTTTAAAAGTTTCAACTCTTTCTCCGGACAATCCATGTAGTTTGTTGGTACATAACAACGGCCCAAAGTAACGGAATCAGTGACAATATCACGAGCGATATTAACAATTTGTAAAACCTAACCAAAATTAATTGAATAATCAATTGAATTATTATTGATTGAATTGAATTAGTTGTGATTTATAAATTGATTGAATCTTACTTGTCCCATTTCCTTGGCTCTTTCAACCATAGCAATGTGATCATCGGTAACTCCGTTAGGAAATTTTCCGCTTTTGTAGCACATAACAAATGTACAAAGAATACCAATAGATGAGGCCACATAAGAGGAATACTCGAGAAGATCACTTTCCGTTTCAACTGTTTTATCCTCGATATCCCAAGAATAGCCTCGAGCTAATTCATAGAAAGGTTCAGACGGAAGATAATAGACAATGTGAGTTAGCGCTCGAAAAGCGGCCAATTCATCTTTAGATAAACAACAAGTAAAATCTTTCCAATTGATTTTCGGTTTTTTCCTTGGATCCATTTTCGTTGGTACATCGTAGGTCCACTTTCTATTTCCACGATCGGCAAATAATTGATCGAGAAACTTGTTAATTATTGATAATTTTTCTCGTCGAGTTTTAATTCCTTGTGAATTATCAATCATATCATCAGTAACTCGAGCAAATCCATATAATATACTCAAGTCAATTCGAATACCTAAAAGAGTAGCAAAGAAAAAACCAACAATTAAAGTTAATCAATTGATCAGAAAATTGCTCTCAAATTAAAGGTTAATTTTCCATCTCTGTGATTAGTTAATTGTATTAAGTGTTCGAGTGATAATCACATGTAATTCTTGTGTAGTTAAGTGCCTTAAGACTCAATGAAAGT